AAGTACCGTGTGAATCGGTAGTAGGCGTAGCTCGATTGCTATCCTCTTCCGGTGCGGTAATAACAAACAAAAAATAATGGAGGAAAATAGGTGTACGCTGTGTAACGCTTGTTTATACGTAATGTTTCTCGGTACAGCGTTTGGGAAACGCTGGCGTAGCCGTCTTGTCATGCTCATCCTTCCAAGGAAACACAACGCCAACTCGATGCGATGTCGAGAAGACGTATACAAATTATCGGTGGAAAATGCAGAGGACGCCTACAACTTCGAGATTTAATTATCATCGCCACGAACGTCCTTCGTAAAAATATCGAATCTGTACGCGTGTATAATAAACGCGTTCGGCGCTTTCGATTTAGAGTTACAGCGAAAAATGCTTGAAGAATGCCGCAGAAAAAAAAACAAAAATTCGATTTTTCGGTGCCGGCCATATTCGCCAAATTGGCCGGAGACTTGATCGCGACGATGCGTTAAGCGCTGTCTGTACCGTAATGGAGCCGCTGTATGAACACGCTGCTGTCAGAATGATCCTTTGGCCGTTGCTCGATTATGACAAACGCGTTTCCATCGAATTATTCCCGTTAGAGACGAAGAAAAATCTTTTTCGTATACAAATATCGAACGATGAATCAAAAGCGAGCGTTACCCGTCGCTAGTTCTAGGAAAATTGGAATTCGAGTTTTATAGAATAAAATACGAACAAATAGAAATGTTCGATGAAGTATAGATTGAGTAAATTGTTTTAGGTTGGTTTCACTCGTCTGTTACTCGAATAAGAGTCCGCTCGTCTATGGTTCTCGTAATGTCACTTGCCGACAGAAACAGGTGCTACCAGGGACTGGTTGGAAAGTTCTCGGAGATTAAACGAATCTACCAGATATCAAGAACTCGTAATTGGTGGCTTAACGTGTACCGGGCTCGAAGCGTCGATAGCCGTGATACGCGAAGGAATCGAGGATCGAGTCGTTGTCTTTGGGAAACACTTCCTCGAGGTCGAGGGAGACAAGTGCGAGCGCGTTGCAGGAGAAAGGTCACGAGACGACGAAAAGAGCCGTGTAAGAAGAGATCGAATTACGGCCAGAGCGATCTTTTATTATGGCGGCTGGAACGATCGGTCGGGAGGCGACCAACGCGTACCAGTTCGTAAAGAGAGCGTGGATGGACCTGCGACTCACCTGATAATAGCTTGATTCCGCCATCTTGGACACTATACTCCACTCACTCACTCACTGCTTTCTATCCGTCCTTTGTGCATGGGACGACGATGTCCATTGTGTTTACACGCGTAATGCGCGCTCCACCGACGGGCTGGCTACGAGTGACCGCATTTCGTGTGTCGCCGCGCACGTCCAATCCCGTCCGCGAGACGTTTCCAAGTAAAACCGTGGATGAGAAGCGACACGAACTTACTACTACAGAGATGTATGAATGAAAGACGCGCGGCTCGCGAACGAAACGCAGAGACGAACGCGTCCCACCGCACCAGACAGAAGACTGACCAAGACTGACGGCGAGACGGCAAGTATCGGGCCAATCGCGGCGAAGGAGGCGCGCGCATCTCGCGCACCCCCACCACTGTCGCTAAAGGTGCGTCCACGATATCATGTTTACGACACCTTGATGAAATATCTCCCTGTCATTGGTCGATTCCCATGGAACTGTAAAACGAGAAAATGTTCGTAAAAGGGCCGAATTCATTCTTGCCGTCTAAGGGGGAAATCACCAATGCCGGTTACCCCTATCCAAAATAAACATAGTCCCAGTCATTTACTAATTTCATTGTATCGCATTCAAACAATTTAACCCTTTCGACTCTAGTGGGACATGTCCGTCCCAGTGAGTATTTCTAATCGTCTTTAGCCAAATTGCAAGCGAGTATCGATAAAACGTTCGTGTAACTCACTTGTGCGCAGTCGTCGAGCACATTGCCGCGCGAAACCGAACTATGTATAAAAAAAGAGGAAGGGTAGCCGGTTCTAGTAACATTCCCCTTAAGTGGTAAGAATTAAGGATTCCCAGTGTAGCATTTATTTATATATATAGAAAATTATCTTACAATTTTGCATTTACAAATTTGAATTAGTATACAATTATGCTTTTAAATTTGTATTCCGATGTACGTTTACGCAGCAAATAACGTCTGCCAGAGATCATCGGGAGTCCTCGAAAATAGACTGTTTGGATTTTGATATAAATTTTTTGGATCGTGGCAAGCTTCGTACAATTGCTTGTATATAGCTCCGATTACTTCGAAGGAACGCTTTTGTGTTACCAAGCGATGATTGTTGCTTTGCAATAAACTTATTTGGGGCAACAGTAACACATCTGGCATCACCAAGAATGCTTCCAGCTTGTTCTATGAAACGTCGAGAAATAAAAATAAATTTCCACGGACATTTTAGTATTTAATTTTAAAAGAGACGCTTACTGTAAATTCTTTCACGCTTAAAGGGTCCATACCAGGGACGGAAGATAACGGACCCTGTTCGTGCCCCTGTAGTATCGTATAAATCGATCCAAGATTTAAATGTGCGACTAAAGAACTAGCCTGCTCCGATGTTAAAGTATCGATTTGGGCATCAGACTGGGCCTAAAAGACGTGATCTTGGTAAATGGTAAAAGTATACGCAAACGTATAGATCTGGGGGTAAACGAATCGCTTACCTGTAACCTTTCTAATCTTTGGTCCATGTATTCGTATAATGCTAAAGTAGACTGAATTTGATGCATACAATTTAAAAGGTACACAGCCATGTCTACCGTAGGTAACCTCGATGCTGTTTCGTTAACCTCTTGCAAAAGAGGATCAATGATGCACGATACTATCTGTAACATATCTTTTTCTCTATCTTCCGCGATACTTGCCACGGAAAGGATTTCATTGAGAAGCGATAGTAATCTTGAAACAGATGGAGCAGGTACTAAATCATTTCCCGGAGGTTCTGCGCGTTCGCCAAGCGCGATACGCGTCTCCTTTTGGAGTCTGCTGAGAAAACTTTTCTCGCTCATTATTAACAAGTCAGCCAAAGTTGAGTCCAATGTACTGTCAGGTACTACTTGCTGAATTATCGCGCGGTAGAATCTAAGAAGAGTGGTAACAGAATACAATACTGTTGCCGGTGCATCCATAGAAATGACATGTTCCATCCTTGACTTCAAAGGATGACAGAGTCCCTCTGTGATATTACTTAAACATTGCTTAATCTGATCCGATACATCTGAAGTATGTAATACGAACAAGTGTTAAAAAAATAAAGAGAAACAAACAATCGGTATAATTTGGTTCTTACCTGTTTTGTCACAGCCCTTTACTAAAGTTAATATATTTTCTTTCTCGACGGGAATAGCTTGGTGGAGCCAAGCAAGCATATCTCCGATGTACCGCTTAGGATCGTTCGCATGCATTTCGATAGGATTAGGCGTACCGCCGTATCCTTCGCCTAACGTTAACGCGTCTATAAAAGAACCTGCTAAAGCGGTTCTCCTAGCTGCGCAATATTCATCTAAAATATACTTAAATAAAACTGGTCTGTCCTGTAATTTATTCATTGCTTTAATTAGCAATGGCGCTAAACGTTCATTTTCAACGTGTTTGCATTGGTTTTGTGTCCATCTGTACAATCTTTCAAGAGCTGCTTCTTGTAACAATGTCATTCTTTGCATAACATCTAAAGCCAACGTTTGGTATCCTGACTGCATTAATATCCTACAGCTGGTATGGATTTCCTGCGATTGAAGCCATGGTTAAATAAACTTTTTAATAATCATAGAAATATTATTACAATAACTGTACAATTACTGTACCTGGACACGATTAACTACAGAGAAAAATTCTTCCGTAATGGGTGACTCTCTACTAGACCCATGTAAGATGGTTAAATCCGATTGTGATAGTTGAAAATTTTTAATGAAAGCATTTGCAACTTCTAATTGCATTGACAAAGTTTGACTAAAAACGATAGTTAAACATTTTATACTTTGTGTATATAAAAATGATTTCTAGATGGTTCAATTCATTTGCGTACCTTTTATTTTGAAGTTTTGTTGTTTGACCGATTAACTGCAACATTTGCGTTTTCGTAGTTTGTAAACGATTCGTCATACATTGTACCGCGGTATTCATTTCTAGAACGTCCTGATATATGTCGTGTAAAGAAGATTTCACTTCTCTAAAGGCAGATAAAAATTCTTCGTTTATCGCGAGGCTTCTTCTTTCTATTTTACTACGTAAATTCCGACGGGCGTTCAATGTATTCTCCGTGAAGAACGTAGATAATTCCTTCAAAGCTTCGAGCGTATCCTGAAACGAATACTCTGAATAAGAATTTTTATTCGCATTATTTGATTCCCTGATGGACGAGTTTCATGGTGTACAAATTGGATAACAATTATTTGTAATATAATTACCTTGTCATGTTCTACTCTCGACTCGAGCAATTTATTAACCCTCCGAATCAAAGCAGTATTAGCATTTTTTTCACTCATTTTCAATACGTTCCTTTTTTATCGTAAAATTCATTCGGTACATAACCTATCTATTCTGGAACTGTCCATGGAACTGTCACGTAGCATACTCGACCATACTCAACATACTTATAACGTATATCGTCCATGTATACGGATAGTTATCTATGTGCATAAAGTTTATAGACCATTGTACTCAATTACATATATGATTTTCGATATGTATTTTCCGAAAACCTATGAAAATTGCAATAAATCTCCACATGATCTGGTTTATATCGTCTTACTGTTTTCCGATTTATTCAAGAAACGTAAACTATTTATCGAAGCATGTACTATAAACGAAAGCATCAAAATTCCATCGAAGAAGTTGAATATAGCATAGATGATAGATTGAAACTATTGGTAACAATTATTTTATTTCTGTCTATATTTAGACTTATAAATGACCGGTATGGAACAGCTAATTAGAAACTCCGTTCGCTCTGTTGCATATCCGCGTTACCACTTTTAGTTCGCCATCTAAGCTATTCCGTTTTCACGGAACCGATGTATTTGCAAACTTCCAATATGTCATGTCAACTCTGAGCTTTTCTATTACTTAAGTGAATGTGCATTTTCGACATACGCGATGTTTTAGTAAAATAACACGTTCACGAATTATGGTTTCATATTTTGTACGACGTCTAGGTAGCAAAAATTAGTACAGAGGCGCACAGTGTTTGCTTACTCGTATAGAGGTTAGTGTTTTGTTTCAGTTAACAAGTAGTGCAATGATTAATGTTAAGTGTTTCGGTAGAACTTTTTTTAATTTTTGCCTAAATTAAAATTTGTCCTAATTTCCTTTTATTGCATCTGTGAAATCATTTACTGTAAGCATGTTTGATTGTGTTCATAAATTATAAATATTTACTATGTATTATTTAGTCAACTGTATTATTTATATTGTCCATAGGGGACACCATTTTATTTTGTGTTCTCATAATAATTTAGTTTTAATTTTTGTTTATTGAGTATGCATGATTTCATTTAGTTTGTAGGCGGCAAAATGTCCATGTCAGAGTCTGGTGTGGGATGTATTAGCGAAGTTACGCTTGCAATTAGTAAAGCAAGGGGTTCTCAATCAGGTACAGTGAGAGTACTTGATAGTCCTGAGTCTGATGGATCCGGCCATTCGAATTCGTTTACTGTACAACGATTTAATTATCCCGACAATGAAACTGCAAATTCTGATATTTTGCACCCACCCTTAACTAGTGAAGACTTAAGAATACCGATTATTGGATATGAAGTTATGGAAGAGAGAGCCAGATTTACAGTTAGCAAAATATTATGCTACAATATAGACATTTATCAACTTTTTGTTGCATCATAACAAATTTATATTTTTCTTTCAGGTTTACAAATTACGAGTAGAATTAAAAAATGGCGATTGTTGGTTTGTATTTAGAAGATATACAGATTTTGTTCGTTTATTATCACAACTGAGAAGGCAGAAAATTCCAATTTCGCATCTAAGTTTGCCAAGGAAAAAATGGATCGGAGATAATTTTGCTCCAAGTTTTTTGGAAGAAAGAATACGTGGCCTTCAAGCGTTTGTTAATGGAATATTAGGTAGTCCCCTTCTCATAGGCACCGCGTGCGTGAGAGACTTTTTCTGTTTAGACGAACCACCCGCCTTATCCGACACCGCGGAAGAATCTAGAGTACGCGTCTTGTATTAATATTTTTTTTATTTTTACTGAGGCATATCGATAATGGAATATTTACAAAACTATACTTTATTTTTTTCCAGGCAATTTTTGAAGCACTGGAAGATACTATATATCATTTACGACAACAATTAAGAGAACGCGACGCTGCTCTTAAAGCCGAAACAGCATTATGCAACGAACTCCAGAAAAAGCTGCATCAAGTATTAAGGTAATTAAATAATACAATAGGATATAGTAAAAGATATATAATGCTCTTTCAAACAAATATCTGAAGCATTGAATCGATGTTTCAGTGAAAAACAAACCTGCCTAAAATGTGGTGCATCTCAATAACGATTTCTCATTAATTTGAATCTCATAAGTTGATATCAGTAAAACTATATTATCTAGAGACTGGTATAATTAGGTAACTTCAGTTGTACCGTATAAGTTCTATTTATATATTGCTATGACATAAAGATCTGTTATTTTAATGATATTTGTTAAAAAGGAGATATTAGATATCGCTAGTGTATTTTATATTTTTAATTGTATGGCACAATTCCATTCGTTCTTGATTATATTAATTTATACAAAACAATGTTAAGTGATACGTAGAAGATTTCTTAGCATAATAAGTACATTGAGCTTTCCCAGCATTGAATGCAACTTCCATTATTACATGAAAGCCTTATACAAGTGCCTTACATCTATAATACATGAATCTCTATTTATATCGTGTATTTAGTAGTCAAAGTGCTTTCAAATTGACAAGAAAATTGTCATAGAATAAAATACTATTACAGCTTGATTACGAATACACGCCAAAGTGAGTTGATCTACTTTGGTACTTTATAAAATTCGATATATTTTTTAGTACTTTTACATCGTGTTTGCATAGTTATGCAACGATATTGTTGTGAGAATTATAATTGACATTCGTAATATTACAACAACAATATTACCAGAAGAACTAGATATTACGATATTATGACATTTAAAATACATTTATGTACAGATATAATAAATATTTGAAACTCCTGTAAATTATATTGAAAATTTATTATACATTAAACTCTGTAATATAGTCAATATTTATTATATCTCAATGGTTACTTTATGAAACGTTTACAATACTGCACAATATATATTTATATATAAAAAAAGAATTGTTATACTTTTTGGACTAATTTCTACGTTTTATGTTGATACGGAAGACTTTTAATTAAAAAATATAAAATTAATGAAAATGTTATTCGACGTTGTACGATGCAGCTCGTCTACTACGTTTATCATATAAGGTCTGTAATTCTGATGTCTTTAATAATGACTACGATCAAGGAAAACAACAATCTCATTCTTTTAAATTATTAAATATACCCAGACCTAATCCGTGTTCTAAAATTTTAGCACAGTGTAAATAAACGGTACACCGCTGTTTACATTAAATACGAAGCGTAAGATTATTTCGCATCAGTCTTCTTTATCAGGAGCAACGACTAAGCATAAGACTTGGATCAGGTACGTGATTCTCGCTGGAAACAGAAAGAAGAAGCAATTTAATTAATCGCATAACTCGAGGACTCGCCGCGAGACGAAAAGTCGTCTCGTCGTACTAACCTGCCAAAACGCTCCCGATCTTCTTGTACACGTACACGTGATAAACAACGAGACCGAAGAGAATAAACAGTAACGCGGCCAGATATTTGGGCGACGGTTCGTGCACAATCGGCGTCACGGCTAGGAAAATGGAAACGCATAACACCAGCCACGGTATCGCAGTCGGCACTCTGTACGGTCTAGGGGCATCCGGTTTCGTCCTTCTCATAATTAACAACGACACCATGGCGAGCCCGTAAAATACCCAAGTCAAAAAGCTCGCGAACTCGATGAGGGCAATTATGTCTCCCAAGAGCAAGCAAACCAGAGTAAGCAACGCTTGGAAGGCCACAGCCGCGGCTGGAGTCATCTTCTCCATGTGGACGTAGCTGAACACGCGAGGTACGTGACCCTCCCTTCCAGCGACGTAGCAGAGCCTGGACACCCCGAACTGAATGCTGAGACTGCATCCAAAAGTGGACAGGGCGACGCCCAGAGGAATCGTGAATCCCAGCCAGGCAGGCAGGACTCTGTCCGCCCAGAGGACCGCGACTGCCGGTGCACCGACCATTTCCGGCATCGTCAGCGCAGCCATGTACATCAAGTTCATCGAGACGTATAATACGGTGATCAGTGGCACGCCGATCAGAATACTCCTTAGTATATTGACTTCAGGTTTTTGGATCTCCTCGGTAACGACGGCAGCCGACGTCCAGCCGTCGTAAGCCCACAGACCGCTGTAGAACGCCAACGCTATGTCGCCAGCGGATGTGGTGCTACCGCGAAACGGATGCTCCAACAACTTCGTATGTCCCGTGCACAGCCACCAAATTCCACCTCCGATCACAACTATACAGGCTACCACCTTGCACACCGTGAACACATTCTGGACCTTCACGTACAGCTTCACGCTGGTCAGGTTGATGTACGTGATTAAGCCCAACGCCAACACCGCTATGAACTTCTTCAGTTGCTGCATCGACTCGTCCGGCAGATCGTTCAAGTAAGTAGAGAATGGTTGCACGCTATATTCCGCGAACGTTAGCATAACCACCGCCACTTCCGCAGGTCGTAGCAGAACCACATAGACCCAGGAGCAGATGAAGGCTGGAATCTGGCCGGCGTATCGGTGCAGGGGTGTGAACGCCTCGATGAAGTAAGCGTACTCGGCACCGGACCGTGGGACCACCGTGCTCAATTCAGCGAACGCGAGTGCTCCCAGCAAAGAGAGCACTCCGCAACTGGCCCAGACTATCAGACAGAAACCCACGGATCCCGATCTCTCCAGAGCGCTGGTCGGCGATACGAAGATCCCAGAACCTGGAAATCGAGAGCAGTTGGTCAGATCGAATGGTGAGAGCGGTTTAAAGAGTCAGTTGTTGTTTTCAAATTTGTAGGTCAAAGCTAGGAGTATTTCTGGTAGGCAACTATCTCGAGATACAGCTGCAGTTGTTTCCTGTATCATCCCCATATGCTGTTAAAAAATCTCGAAAAGAGGATATCTCGCAATCGCGTATACGAAGCCGATTGTTTGACAAGGAACGTTCGTTTTTGCGTTGCTGAATCGACGAAAAGGAAGTAACACGTTTCGATTGGGAAACTTGGTCGTATCCGACTTATTTGCCGATACAGGCAATACGTATTGCCCAACGTATATTTCGCCGATATCGACGGTGTTCGAAAGTACGCTTTAAAATGTATTTTTATCAGCCAGTATCAATATAATCTAACTGAACTATTTAAAGTTATCGAAGCCTTGAATATTTCAGTAGCAGAAATCGTAATCGTTGGCGTTCATAATCATCGTGATCTCAAAGTTCCCGGTTAAATACGAAACATAATAGACTCGTCAGTTTGCAAAGTCTGATTAAAATCGGCCAGATATACTTGAGAGTGGTGTCTCGTAATACTCGAGCGCGTGGGTCAGCGATTAACCTTGATTAACCCTCTTGATTCGTAATCGTGTCAAGCTATTTAGTACGCATAATTAACGAAATGTTACGTCAGGTTTTGTTCTTTCTCTTCGAAGGTGTGCGACTCTATAAATCGTAAGTGATTTCCGAGGAAAACGATACGATGGATCCGCTAACAGCAACGAGCACCTTACGATTGTTAATTACGAAGAGTTAACGGGGATGGTCGTGGACATCATATATTTTTTTCTGGTCGTCAACAATCTCGATCGAGCTAGATTGACTGGATTATACCAGGGCAATCTAGATCGTATTTGAGAAGCTCGAGATAAAATATCGGGGTTGAAGTACGTTCTTGAATTATGAACTGGGAAAAATTCCAGACCTAAATAGTTTACGATACAGATAACTCGAGAATTATGTCAATTTAGGATCAAAAGAAATTATTCGATCAAATGAGATTTTCTATATGACGTTACGTTGGGAATAACGCAGGAGTCGTTGAGAGGATGAAAAGGCAACGCTCGGCTATCAAAAGTAACAGCGTGAGAAAATGGCGTGGCAACCCTTTGAATCGCTGTTAAAGAAGATGGACGGATCGTTATTAGCATAAAGCATAAAGACGAGCCAATTATGCAATTGCTGTCAACTGCTTTCAAGCATGATGCTGATTTGCAACAACGACTTGGTTCTCTACGATTCATAATTATTATATTCAACCGTTTAAGTCGGTATTTTCAATGTTACTTTCGAAAGAGTTTACGGAGTGTACGGTGTACATAAAATTTATCAAGTCATCAAACTATTGCGTTTTGTTTTGAAAATAAAACAAGGAATACCGCCGCGACACTGTTTTCTTGTGCGCTCCGTTAGTAAACAACAAGGTATAAATTAAAAACGTATGAAAATCGGTTTCAAAATATACAAAAGGAATTCCTTTTCAATTCGTTTTTTCGAGTCTGGAAGGGTTAAACTAACCATCGAATGATAAATAACGTTCCCAACGAGACGTTATCTACATCAAATATGTAACTCTGGAGCATCAATATCTGCACAAAGCATTTCGTCACGTTATATCGATCGTACCGAGTACCGGCAAAAAGAAGAAACGGAATGAACCATTTTCAGAAGCTGGCACGAGCACGTTACGCGTTCGTCGCCGCGTAGATAATTCAATTTAGACGGTCAGGTCCTGTTACCACTGTCTGAACCGAAGCAATGCCAATCTGATACCGACGGCAGTTTCGCTGAAGCGACAACTCGCGTGCGTTAAACTGAATAATTGCCTCTGCATGTCGTCTACGTAATTTCGTGTGACATCCACTGCGTAACTTTCGCGTCGATATTGGTTTAGATAAGATATATAGTTTAGGCTATAGTTTAGGTTTAATATTTTCATTTATCTGACACCCGTTTGCGTTAAAATTGTTATTTGTATCGGCCCAGCGCTTCGACTTCACCGTTCGAACGCTGTTGCAACGAATGAACCGATGTTTCGTTATGTAAGTGCGGTATCGATAATGTGGAACGTGTTGGTAACCTTCGATTACTATGACAAGTATGTTATAATTTCGCGGCACGTGCGACGATCTTTAAAACGTCTATGCAAGCAGAATGCTTGGAATCAATGACCACGAATGGTAACAACCTCGCAAGGCCGTGGATGGGTAAATGAGATGTGTATAAACAACTGTCTCTTCAACTGTAGAACGAAGAAGAATTATTATCGCGACGACTAATTAGCTCCGGCCCTTGGACGTTTATATTTCAGGGCCTCAAGAACCGAACTCATCGCGACAGGATCTCTTCTATATTTTCGTACCGATCATGACAGCCAGTATGATGCTCACTGCGCTGAAGAGACCTAGCTCTCGCTTCAGCTCGACCTTTCCGTTTTCTTGGCCCTCGAGCTTCATTTCGTCGATGGTTCAACTGGACACTTGGGAACGAGCACAGGTTGTCGCGTACCTAGGACGATTCACCAGGACAGAAACGAGCGATTTTTTTTAATTCAAACGTCCATCGCGCGACCCGTGTCCCGATGTGGTCTCCCTTCGATCGGCTGGCTCTCGGTTGTATCCGCGCGACGGAAACGCGACGAAACGAGCTGGCTTCCTCGTGTCCTCGAGCCAGATCGAAGACAGCGTCGCGACGTTATCGGAAGATGTCCAGAACAAGACTGAAGTGTTGACGGGTCAGCTAGTCGCTTATTTTTACAGCCGCACGATGGTTCCCCTGATAAGAGATACTATTGCCATGCCCTCGTCGACGGGGCCCGATATCTTTGACGATCGGTAGCCATCGCGCGGTCCGTTCTTTTTGCGATCTCAGTAACTTCGTGAACGTTACTTCATGAAGTAAAACAAAGTAGTCGAGGTTTGTCTTTAAGACCAGTTTAGGTAGAAATGAAATGTCGATAGGTTCATTGTAAGTCTAGTTAACAAGTGTGTAAAGTTTATTTATTTCATTCATAATGTTTCTTGTACAGTAAGGTTTAAAGTAGTTGAACTGTTCTTGCTGGAAAACGTATTATTATCTGAGGTCCTGTTGGAACCCATCCCCATACTGCTTTCTTTCGTATTTTCTACCTTAAAATATTTTTGACGAAATGTTATCTAATTGCATTTGCCACAAAGTGATCATACAGTAATTACACGGTAATGAACTAATTACCTCTTAATGACTGTGTAACCGTAATCGTCAGTCGTTAAACCGTGTAATTGCTGCATAATAGCTGTGAAGCTACAAAATTATTAACATTTTAAGCGATTATATTACAATATATCGAAGTGAATTTTTATCTGAAAAATGTGTTGATTTTTGCTGGACGACATGGCCGAGTTATCTAACAGGTGCTCGAAAGTATTTTATAACTTCATGATTCTCATAGATTAATTTAATCGTCGAACATTGTCGTCGATTTACCATTAATTCGATCGTCTATCGCCGTGAGAAATTAGGTTCAGTGATCGAGTAATTGTGATTATGTAACAATTGTTATCTATTATCGATATAACATTGAATGAACCCAGTTATGAAATATTATATAAATATTAATTCAAAAGCGATTCTAATGTCTAATTGTTATCAGTCGGTAAAGTGTAGGAATGGTAGCGAACGTAAAGGGGCCCAAAAGGGCACGAGCGCCCTCCCTCCCCGTTCAACGAAAATATTTTATTTGATCATTTCATTTCGTGATTTTAGAAGTCAAAATAAATGTACCATCCACCAAACGAGCTAGCATTATCACGATGCGTCCTTCTCGCGACCGATGTATAACAACCGCATGATTAATGAACGTTAAAAGAATTGTTTGCACAAATTTATGAGCCCGTCAATACTGACAAACGGGTCGTTCGTGAGTCATTTTTCAGTAATCTATCGAATTCGGATAGTTTTACAAATGTCTCGACTTGTCACAGAAAGGTTGTATACGTACTCGATAAGATAATACTTTTGGGACCTTCATGAAATTTCAGTAAGTCCATGGTGGAACAATATCTATTTCATGTCTTTCATCTTACCGTTCAACTTGTAAATATTTTTCGCCGAAACGCTACGCATTACGGCTGCATTATGAAATATTTAACTTACAACTTTGTAACAAGCATGTATCAGTTAAAAAAATTAAAAATTATTTCATTCGCTCCTTGTATCCAGTAATATATGATTATAATATCAGTTGGGTTCTGATTACTTTTTTTTAACTATACACGCTTTCTTATGTAATAAATATTTTACGAGCACATTTTTGTTCCATCTAAAATACACTGTTTTCCAAGTCTTATGATCATAACAAAAAAAAAAAAAATTAATACTACCTCGGTTCCGTCTAATATTACATACAGAATTAGAGTTAGAGTTTCAGTAGTTCTTCATTCGTTACTATTTCATTAGTTGCATTTGACTGCGATATTCATTCTCGTATACCGGGTTTACGCGTATCTGTTAAAAAGTTATGATAGTAAAGTAGCATTTGAGATTGTTCTAATAAAATTAGGATTATGGGGATTAAGGGATTATGATCGTAAATAAAAATGTAAGCAGAAGTTGCAGTATGTTGCAATTAATACCCGCTTTATCGCAGTAGAGATAATACATATTTGAAGAATTTGTACGAATGTCTTCGATACGTGCTTCTCACTTTTCAGAAGAGCAAATGGGTTTCGAAGCGATTTCTGACCAATTGCTGATGTTCTAAATTACTGGTAATGATAAGGGGAACAAAGGAACGCTCGTAAAATCCATATCTGTACTTCGAAAACAAACTATGCCGAGATTTTTTTTATCAATTTTTATGATAAATATCGTATCTTTCGTTGCTGCCTAAAATACGTAAATTTTCGAAATTTGGACTCATGTTTGTCCGAGAGATACAGATATGATGGACTATTTTACGCGTCGATCGCTTTATTTTGACAAATAATTTAGGTTAAGGTGTTACACTGGACACGCGTATAACCTATAAGCACGCTAAACATTGATTAGCGATGGAAGATGAAGAGAAAAAGTGCGAAGTCGAGGAGCCGAGTGAATTTTATTTCGAATCCGACCACTTGGCACTGAAGGGAAATAAAGATTACACGACTCTTTTAAAAACGATTGTAATTCTCGAAGCGCAACGCGTTCAAGCCATAGAGGATTTAGATAAACTTTTATCGATTCGTTCCAAGGCATTGAAGGATCCAATATCGTTTGTGGCTCAAATACAAAACGGTGAACTGCCAGAATTGCCAGGACCCCAGAAAATTGCTGAAATTCCTTACATTGACTGGACGCAATATAACATAGCTATACCTGATATGCGCATGAGGCCACAAACAAGACACGGACATGCTTTGCCTCATGTACAGACCAAAGCAGAGCAAGAGAATGGAAAGGTATGTTACATTCTGTTCTCAGATTAGCTAAAGTGTTTAATAGTATATACATATGTTCATTTCTGAACATCCAGATTTTAGTACGAGGACGTGCCTTCGATGAAAGTAAACCGGAAACCTTCAATCAATTGTGGACAGTGGAGGAACAGAGGAGATTAGAAGAACTTTTGATTGAATATCCACCAGAGGAAGTAGAAATGCGACGATGGACGAAAATAGCTAATGCCTTAGGTATGTTATCGATTGAAGTTTTTTACTTAGTACTTGCTCGGGAATTAAAACTCGTTTTACTCATTTTACTAGGTAATAGAACTCCGAAACAGGTTTCAAGCAGAGTTCAGAAATACTTTATTAAACTCTTGAGAGCTGGGCTACCCATACCTGGCAGAGGTCCTAAAGTGAAATTGGATGTTAAAAAAGGAATAGGTCACAAGCACCAACGAAGTAATTACTCGTTATTTCGACGTTCTACGTTCTTTCCGCATCAAGACATGTCTTTCACCATGCCTGACGAAGGCAAAGAGCAATCGGTTGCAGAAGAATTTGTATGTATTAATTTCAATTCATTTCCTAATGCAAATTTAATTCGCGTTAGTATCTATGGTGTTACATTTAAAGGAGGATGATGCTGGAAATAATATTATAGATGATAATCCTGAATTGAGACACATAGAATTGTTAAGACAAGTGAAGGCTGAGAAAGAACAACACTCTTCCCTTGAATATAAACATATCGGATACATGGTAACAAAAACGATACTTCTGGAAATTTTATCAAGAAAGTATGAAATTTAATCCTTTTTTTACAGTGTTCGATCTGCGGAGAAGAACCTTTAACAGGTACAAGGTGGCATTGCATAGAATGTCCAAATGGAACTGACATTTGCGGCGATTGTGCGGTAACGCAATTAGAAACTGAGAATCCAGTACACGATACGTTACATAGACTAATTCCTATAAAACCGCCGCAATATACTAGAAGCTACGATTTAGATTACTTTCCGCAAAGTTTTAGTAACTCTTCTTATAATTATTTAGATCCTAATTTCTTACCTGAATAGTTATTATTTTTTAATCGAATTTGTTATACCGAATGATTTTTACGAGTGATTATGTTTAGACTTAGGATCTATAAATAATTTAATAAATTATATAGATAATACTTTTTTAAAAACACATTATACATCTGAACATTTTACGTTTCCGACATCACTGGACTTTAAGTGACATTATGTTTTAGAAATTTTAAACTAATTATTTTTTTATACCGATCGAGAGTTCCTGTTCTTATATTTTCTCGAATATCTTGGAAAAACTTGAGGTACTGATGTACATTATGTCTGAAAATTGAATTAGTTGTATTAGTTATATTAATACATAATAAAACATCGACAAATTACTGTACCATTACGCGAGTAATACTAACATCATTAATAATACTGTGTGAAGCATTTCTTTGGTGTTATATAAATGATGCAAATATGCTCTGGTATGATTTTTACATGCAAGACATTCGCATTGAGAGCATATCGGAGAAAATTCGTCCTTGTATCTACCACAGAAACAGTAAGTGTAGAAATATAGCAGTCATAAACAGAATTAAATTTTGTATTACCTCTTTTCTGCAAGTGATATCACGTGTCCTACGTTATTACAATCCGTGTGATCGCACAAAAAAGTGAATGCCTCCGAATTCTCGGTAGCTACATATGGATACGATGTATCGAATACATCTACACCTAATTCGACAAACTCTAGTACCATGAGTGGATTCCAACATCCCATTGATACTTTCGGTTTATCAACAGGTAGAAGATTCTGAAATATTTGTAAACAATGTACAATCATTCATACACAATAGAGATTGTTCACTTACAACAGTGTGTTCCACTACTTGTTTAACTTGTTCCAATGAAATATTCTGTACACTTGGCCCATTATTATGCAATCCATCTATCACATATCCCATTACTGGTTTATCTTTTAAATCATCTACAGATGATGTTCTAGCTTCTATATCATAACCACCTTCGATTGCAGCTAATATTCCTACTGATTTCAAATTTTCAGATGCAGAATGCCTAGAAAAACATTGTTCAAACAATGTTTTATTTAGTCTTACAGAATTTAAGGCTCTTTTCCTACTACTGTCTACATTAGTATCTCCATCGCATAATGCAACATAAAGATCTGGTTTAAATGCTTCAACTATATCCATGTATTTGTTAGAAGTTAGTACTTGTCTCCCACTTCTTGTCCACAGAGAGATGGAATCAAGTTTACGAAAACCTGAAGGAGTTAATTGAGCTGGATCATGAATTGTAAGAAGGTTTATATGTTCCTAAAAGAAGTAAATAAAATTATATTGAATGCATAAGTAGATAATTTATAAAAATTAGATACAGAGAAATGAAGTTGTACCTCCATACCAACAAACTTCGCAAAATTAGTATTAGTATTTTTCATTGCTTCAGTCATCAACACTGAATTAGACAATGGAACAGATAGTAAAAGAGAATTTGTAGTGATCATGTTTAACACTTCTTTAGTTAAATGTGGTACACATCCTCCCTAAGAAAAAAATGCAGTTTTAATTGCAACATTACTTCGGCTCTGTTAAACTTATAGTTATCAAATTTTACCCTTGTGTAAATAAGAGCAAGAGGAGTTTCAAAGCTGCTATTAGGAATTCTTTCAAATTCCGATAATGTACCAACTCGGGCGGTACAAGATTTCACCGATTTAGTAAAGAATTTCATATTTATTTTCGTTAATATGTTTTCAAAATGCGTACAGTAAATAGCGTTTACGGTTATTTTTGTTAGTAGCTATTGGAAAACATAACCTCACCAACCCCTCGTGTATAGATTCTCTATCGTCGCAAAGTGTTTATCTATTATTACGGGAATGCAATACTAGGTGGTGTTATTTAAACTAGGATTCGATTACTGTCTTACGAGTGAATCTAAAACATTAATTCTTTACTTTTCTATACTTTGTCTGTCCTGATATTTCTCATAATATGTCTATAAAACCTCGAATTTAAGTTGTTAATTTTAATACAATTATACAAATTGCTAAACGCTTAAAGATAACGAAGTCGGTCGAGTCTATTTCCTCATAGACTATCCCCTTTTTTTTCAACTTTTAAACTATTATACCTTCTCTTGTGAGTTTCCGGAATTTTCGCTCAATTTAATAGCCATCTAGCGGTTAACTAGCGAACTAATTTTCGAAGTTTGGTCAGCGCCTCTATCGAGAAAACGCTCAAGTTTGGCCTAGAAAAGTTCAAGCAGTCACCGCTAGATGGCGCTATTTAGATGGTAATTACCGACATGATGATAACTTACCATCCGGCGTCAGTAAATACCATGAAAATAACGCCATCTAACGGCGAAAGCAAGAATTAATCGAGGACAAACTTGAGCGTTTTTCGATAGAGGCGCTGACCAAACTTCTAAAATTAGTTCGGTACATTCACCGATAGAGGACGATTAGATAGACTTTGGAAAGCGCGCAAAATTTGAATTAGTTAATCGAATATCAAAGAGTAAATTCTTGTTTCTTTCATACAAATACTCTCTACGTCAAGTTCTTATCTTCAACTATTACATTCTGTGTCTCGAAAAGAACCTACAATACTTTAAACATTCATCAAAGGAATAAACTCTACACCTGACAGCCCCTGACACCTCGTTCGTAGTCCACTACCTAGACGTGATTAATTGGAGGACTGGGATGAAATAAACACAATTAATTTGAACAAGTTTATTCATTCACGTATGCATACTGTTTGGACAGTAAGAGTGTGCGTAGTTCGCCTCGAGGGTGTTCGAAATTTCGTATCCGACACTGGTCAACATTTGTCCAAGTTTCGTTCTCCTCGAGAGGAGATCGAAGTTTGTGCACAGCACTCGAGAAAAAGTTCTCAGGACTAGATGAACCCGATAATTGTTGCAAAGTTGGGCTCCGATTAATCTGACGAATCTTACGATCTTTGAAAGCTGATCGTACTTTACAATTCACTAGTCGAATTGGTTACTTGGTAATCGTAGACGTTACATTTTTGCCCAACTAATTGCAGAGCTCGAAAGGTTAATAAGAATTTCAAAGAATTTGCGATTCGAGACAGTCCGTAGTTCGTTCTCGTATTTGGTGTCCTCAGTATTGATCTTCGCAGGTGTTCACCAAGGGATGAAGCGACACTGACGCACCGGAACAGCTGACCGCGTTTTGTATGTAATCCTGGAAGTTGCTCTCGATCACCCACATGAGTCTCTTGTAGCCAGGGATCACTCCCGTCGGCAGTCTGCAATCGCTACCCTTTTGGACCAACTGGAAATTGTCCTGGACGAAGGCTGTCTCGGTGTTCCACATGTAGACATCACCTTCTCCTAGACATCGAACAAAAAAAAGTCTCGCGTTTAAAAGTGTCCGCCCGAAGGAAATGTCACTTAAAGCACTATAAAAACACAAAGCAAACAGGTTTGTCCACTTGGCGCGTCGAGTAGACGAGTTCTATCCCAAAACGTACACGCGGACGTGAGTGTCTCACTTCTAATCATAATAATTAAAATTTGCATTCTAAGCAGTTGCATTAGGTGGTCTTGAAAGATTAATGATACATTACGATCATTTTTCTCTACTACTGTCATAAAATAAAGTTTTAAGAATATAAGGTTGTTCGTTTATATGAATATAAATTAATCGAGTGCAAGACTTGGGAGATCAAAGTCTCGTCGGGTTTCAACGAACTCTTTCGACGAATTCTTACCCTTCATCCTGAAGAAGATGGCGGCGCCATTGTCGGTGCCCAGGAAGACGATTTTGCTTTTCTTCGCGCCAACCTCCGCCACGGACCCGTTAGCGTTTCCAGCTCTGAGGTTCGCAGCCCTGATGGCGAAGATTCGGTTGGAGCCCAGGTAGGTGAAATACAGGACTCCAGTGCCGCAGCTTTTCCTGATCAGCGCCAAATAGAGCGCGTCCCTCTTCTCCGCGCCGGAAGTGACGGCTCTCGGAAGGACGACGCGATAACCGCTGTCAGCGGTGACGTTGTAAACGATTATGGCTCTGGTTGCGGCGTCGGAAACGTACACGTACACCTGGCCATCTTCGGCGTAGTCGACCGCCATGTACTGCAGACGAGAGGACGCGTCTACTAGGTGGCTCAAGTCGATCACCTTCACTACCTGCAATCGCGAAAACGAGCGTTATTGGTCTTTATAAAATCTTTGCGAACGTACTTGGAATCCTAAGTAATCCTAAGTAAATCCCAAGTACTTGGTACCTAAGAAAAATTCGATCTTACTAATAAGTTATTCGATAAGTAAACAAGTTTGAACAAAATTCCAGAAAAATTCTATCAAGCTTTAACGGGTCCGCGTTTACCTTTCCCGTTTTGGCGTTGACTCCGACCACTTTCGGAGGACACCTTCGCACGGGTTGCTCGAGAGTATTGACGATTCCAATATCGAGAACCCACAGGATGTCTTGCATGTCCAGGACGATGTCGACGGCGCTCTGGAGAGCCTGGCAGTTGCCTTCTTCCTGGATGGCCCAGCAAGGGAACGGCGCTACCTTCGGCGAACAGTCCTTCGCTTTCAAGGAAACGGAGCCTAGAGTGAAGGGTACGCCTGGCTTGTACCGCGGCATCGCCAGGATCACTTGGTCCTGGTACACTTGTGCCCTAGTGGCGATCACGTTCTTGGCGATGTACCGGCCGCTGGTCTCGTAAATGTTTTTCGTGCTTTGACAGGGCCAGTCCAGGGTTTGTCCAGACAGCGTCACCGTCAAGTCTTGTAGCGCGAGTTCGGTGGTGGCCAGTGCCAAGCCCGTCGCTAGGATCAAACAGAACACGACGCTTGGGATCCTCCTCATTCTGCTGCTCGATGAGTGCTTGCCTTTAACTGCGAACCGGAAACATTTTGTTACGGTAAAAATTGCGATTCGACAGATAAATTTGTGTGTGATTTGAAGGGGGTGATTTGATACAACATTTTCGCTAAGGAAAAAGAACCGAACCATCCTTCTCAAGGAACTCCAACATTTTTTAGACACCCTGTATATCATAGAACACTAACTAAAAAAAGATGAACGGTAAATATTAAATATCGTCCGAATTACACCGCGTTTGGTCTCGTTTTAATCAGAAAAATGTCAGGAATATGACGATGAAAGTTTTACAACAAAAATGTTGATAATAATCTCGTCTGAAGTTCAGACCCTCGCTTGTCCATTGAGACTTTACCGTAGACGAATAAATTCAGAAAAATTCAGAGACAGTCAAGTGGAGTAATTACTACTTACGCGAATTCACGCTGCGAATTGACGAAGAGGTTCGAATGTTCGTTTCTCATGTTCGACTAAACGCTTATATACGTACGTCAATCGAGGATTCCACAACACCCCAGATCACGTACCGTTATTTATTAAGTGGCATCTTTCTTCCGTCTGTCGCAACACTTCCGTCCGAACAAGGCTGCGCGGGACCTAGGACACAACACGGAACCGTATCTTCGCAAATGTTTGATAAACAACGAATCGTTCAGGAAGTATCTGCTCCCTGGTGAATAACATTCCTTCGTTAACGACGGTTAACCGATGTCCGAATTAAACGAAAGTAGAATCGGTTCGGAGGGAGTGGTCGAAAAATGTGTACGCCTTTTAGATCTATCGTTTCACGATCGAACGTTTCGATCGAATTTAATATCGTTCGGAAATGATTCGGAACGTGTACCCGCGGGTCCAGGATGTCCGCAGCGAGACGGAACGCGGAACGGTACCACGTATCGACGGTACAATAAATATTTTGCCAAACTCCGGTGTTTCGTAACGCGGGGGACGCAGGAACTCGTATATAACTGGCGCAATCTTAAAGATGGTTCAATTAGGTTGACGGAAGCTCCTCGAGAAACTTGGGCAAAATGATTTTTACGACGAAGTATCTACCTGTACTGATAGTAGCGTTCTCGGTGTTTATTGGCGCTTCGGCGACCGAAGAAGTCGTGGTTGAAACAACGAATCCATCGAACGTCAAATGGACGGGTGGATCGTTCGAGTGGCCATGCAGCGCCACGAAGAACATGTTCAAGAGCAGCGGACGGTACATCTCGAAGAACGTGATCGCCACCAGAGCTGCAATTTACAATGACGACGCCATCGTGGCTCTTCCTAGGTACGCCAAACCCGACACCTTTGTATAAATATATATTCGACCGTTTGCATAAATATACTAACCTGATTTCGAACGTACAGATACAGGCCAGGAGTACCGGCAACCTTAGCCAAGGTGTCTCTGATCGACAAAGGCTGCCAGGCAGGTCTGCTTCCGTTCCCTTGCTGGTCTGTGCAGGAAGAGGGGACCTGCAGCGCTCTCCAAAACGTAGTGGACCTCTACTTGGACCCTCAGAACATCCTCTGGGTCCTCGACACTGGAGTGGTGAACACTTTGGAGGAACCTGAACGCAAATGCCCGCCGAAAGTACTTGCTTTCAACGTCTACACGGGAAAGGCGAGTATCCATTTCAGTAAATAAAGGGTTAAAACGCTATTCGTTTGGTCGTATAGCATATTTAACAACCGAATAAAACAACGAATAATAGATTCGGTGCTGGTGAAAAATCTGGTGGTTAAATCTTCTCTGCGAAAATTGGACGATTCATATGGATCTAATACCGATACAAGCATGGTATGCTACGATATAGGAATATAATTTGATTAGAGTTGAAAGTCGCGACTAGGTGGATAATAATTTTTCTCGCGTATTTGCTCGTAGAAAAATGGCGCAAACCAGGCGCTATTGCGAGTGAATTTTATCTGGAAAGAGTGGTCTTTGACAAGCGCGTTACGCGATAACGGATTCTGATGAATGTCACTTGTTAGAGGGAGACCTATCACGTTCGTATTATTTTGCAACCGTTACGTAACGAATTTCGATCGATTCTGCATGGATACATCAGACACTGACACGCGAATGTATAATAAAATCGTCACATACGGCTACCATTCCGATACAAAGTAGCAACGCTCCCGACAAATAATTCGCCTTTTCTTTATCCTTTCACTTGCGTAAAATATTTCTACGCGGTACCGGTATTTTTTTTTTTAAAGACTGCTCCAGATACGCACTATCGATACTCGCGCTATTCAAGGATTCGAATTTTGATATTCGAAATCGAAAAAATTCTGCCTATGATGGTCCTTGGGTCGTGAAACGGGAAAAGAGTCAACGTTTTTGGAGGGAAAAGAAGAAAAAAAATTAAAAATGTCGAGATTTGAGAAATTCAAGTTTTTCTCCGAAAAAATCAAAAAATTGTACAGTAGACGAATTCAAATATTTTGTTTTGTTTCGTTTCTCGCAAAGTTCGGTCGGAAACGGACATATTTAAAAAAAAAATTCATCTTCCAGCTTTAATTTCTATACAAAAGGACCAGAAAGATATTAAAAATTGACAATCTGAATATATCGGAATGGTTGAAAACAAGTACGTATGCATTCTTTAAAAGATGAAAAGTGGCAGAAAATGGTAATTCAATTCGAGCGTGCTTTCGAATTGTTCTTCAAACTTGACACTTTCTGGACAAACAAGTAATTTATATATCGTATATAACCTTGTATATAATTATTATATAATTATTATATAATTATTACTTCGACTCGTTCGAATCGCAGCGAATACTCATGTCCCTAATTTCTGCCGCAGCTGGTGAAGACAGTGGACCTGTCAGGCTTGACGAGCCCGACGTCGCGTCTGCAATACCTGGTGTCGGACTACAGTCGAGACGGGAGAGTGTTCGTCTACGTGTCAGACGCTGCCACGCGAGCGATCCTCGTCTACGACGTGACCTCTGGCCGCGGCTACCGTGTCGTGTTGCCCCAGGCGATCACCGTCGGTTGTACTCGAAGAGACGTTTTGTACCTCGCCCTGCTTCGTCGTTCGGACGGAAGTACCTGTCTGGTGTTCACCTATCTGAGCGGCAGCCGCATGTTCTCGATCAGAACCGTGCATTTGAGGAACGGCTCGGCGAACGGAAAGGTTCACGATCTCGGCGTGAAACCGAGGAAGATGATCCTGTTGGGTACCGACAACGGCAGCGCCTTGTTCTTCCGGTACGAAGGCGAAGCAGACATCTACAGATGGGACGCGGCCACGGCCTTCGACTCGAGAAATTTCCAAATGGTCTACACCAGCCCGGAGTGCACCCTCGCTACGCACGTGGTCGCCGATTACAGGAGAGGCAGGATGAGGGTGCTCGAGTCCAATTTCCCCGATTTCATGCACGGGACCGTTGGATGCGGCGCCAATCAAGCCCTCAGTATTATGTAGCACGATCGAAACAGCGATCAAACGATTCTTTAATACAGAACTTTCAATAATTCGTCTTCTCTTGCGACATCCTTCCAACGCAAATCTTTCACCTGTCGCTGATTCGGATCGGTATTAAACGTTTGGATAACGTAACGATAGTCAAGGAACGCGTCGATTGGGACGTTAACGTTATTCGCGAGCGCCTTTGTACGAAACCGCCGCGATTTCTACGCCAATGTGTCATACCGGACCTATAAATCAAGATGCAAATCGTTTCGTGATGCTGGCCGTGTACCCTGCGCCTCGAATGCAACAGTACAGGGGAACTTTGTTAGAGAGAACAAAAAATGGAACCTTTCCCTCTTACAATCACCTTTCAGCGGCGTTCGATCGCGATTAGTTCGCGTTACGTTAGCTGTGCTCGTTACGTGAAACGGTCCCGTTTAAATTCACCGAACGATAGCCCGGAATAATATTGGACCAAGGAAACAAAGGACAGTCGGTTATTTTTTAATTTTAATTTTGATTTCTGCATGCTAGTTGGCTACGCTACGCTACTGCTCCACCTCGTGGATGTTCGTTTTTATTTTAAATTCGATCGAAACGCGCCCGGACAAGTCGAAAGTGCAGTTCCGTCAGTCAGGCATAATAGCAACAAAATACCAATCGGTATCGTCGTTACCAAGAGTTATCGCGTTTCGGGGAACGAAAGGGACGCAACTTTCGTTGAAAAACGATACTCGGTGTCGAATTTGGTTCCCGATACAACGCGATCCAATGGGTGAAAGTATAAGCGTATTCTGTTACGCCTCTAATATCCATTCTGGTCTGTCGTTATTTGCTTTTGTAATTAATTACAGTGCCAAACACGCGGAACAAGCGAACAGCCGATAAATCCAGCGTGGAAACCACGTTTCTGTTACAAAACGCGTAATGATAAGATCGAACGGCGTGGTTTTAGTATTTCTAAAATCGGGCCGCGTTTATTCCGTAAAAATACAAATTTTATTCTTATTAAATACACCTGCTACTAAGTTCACGTAAACATATCACGAAAGTTTGAGAGTCACTGGCGTACGCAATGTAGCTGCGTAATTTCACCACGATTAATAAATTTGCTCGACGTTTAGACGTTCGTTGACTCCCTCTTTTATTTTAACGAATACGTTTTCGCGAATTTATGTTACACGGGTTATTTATCTCACTTACGTGGTATCGTGTGGTTATTTTTTTACGCGGAATTTCTTGCCGCATGATAGCGATTTAAGATCCCTATTTCGCGTAATCAGACTATTGCAACGTCGACGGGCGTGCACCGGTGGCGGCGATGCGTGTCTCTTTTTCTTTTTTTCTAACGCGAAGAAGTAATCGACGCTTACGGACCGAAGGGTCGTGGCTGTAATTAGGTGATCGGAGTGGCGCTCTGTTTTAGCCAGATCGACCATTAGAGGGACTTTTGCGACGAATGTAGTCATTACGAGACCACCGCGTGATATCAACGATTCGAGTTTTATATTTATGGATCAGAAGTATCGTTATACTTTCGCCAGGGTGGTTTCTTTCTGTTCGATGTATACCCAGTCGGATCAAATTTTGAAAAAGTACGTTACAAAAACAATGGCACGGTTCAGCAATTTCGAGAGGAATTAATATATTTCAGTAAATAAATTGGAATGCTTTGGAAAGTTAAATACGCATTTTTCCTTCGTCGAAATTATATGGTAGCAGTTCAAGTACGTATTCGTTAATATTTATATGAAAAGTTATGTTGTTACATTAATAACGCAAGCATGAATAATGCAATAACGGTTATGTTTGCGAATATCGCTGATTGTTATCGAATAGAGCGTACGTTCCATCAACCAAATTAGTTGTGTTAATTATAGAAAGTCGCGCGAAGAGGAAATCATTGAACTATTCGTAGATGGCGAGATAAACAAACAGTAATATTTCCTTTTACGCAGCAATGTTCGTCTCCCGATTTGGTGCGTTTAATGCAAGCCGGGGTATTTCCTAAGCCAACCACTACCACGCCCTTTTTGTTACGTAAATTGGCAAGAAGAGATACTTCATACGCACCTCGGGGAAAACCTCTGCAATGTCTGCAGGTTTAAAAATAAAAATAGAATTTAAAGAAATTCTTTTTCGTATATTCAAAGTACCACCTACGATTTCTTAGCAATTTGTCGTTGGAAAGCCTCGAGTGTTCAATCGTCCGAGAGTACTTGCCGCGAGTGGTCTCGTGCAAATCTGGTATCAGGAGAATCTGATACCAGACGTGCGTGCAAATGTGTCGCGTTCACGATTTTTTACCCGGCGATTACCCGAGCGTTGCAGTGTATCCACTTTGTTCCCTCGATCGGATCACTTTGACCCGACAACGTTTGCTCAGGATGTTTACTCGGAATCTAGATCGTCAACCGTCGGATTTACACGATGCCTATTAAGCGGACGATTATGTTTTGTAAATTCGCTCTCCACGAGCGTGTCAAACGATACCATCGAACAATTGTTTCCTTTTGCGAATAAAACCAAAAGCCATGAAGTTTCACGCAAGTTCAAAGCGTGACTAATTCATTTCGATGGGCCCCGGTGATTAGAGGATTAACTGGTTCCCTCGTTTCTCAAACTAATCACGGCTCGACAGTAACGGTACGGTAAACGTCCGTATCGGTCATTTCTCTACTTTTAATAGCTGTCTTCCCGCACGGGTCTACATTCGTTTCTTTACTCTGCCGTTTAATTAATGCCTCGAGTATCTACTTTAGATAAAAATTCAAGTAGCTCTTTTAATTTATTGTTTCAAGGAGCAAACCAAAAGGGAAACGGGATGGGAATGGGTGGAATGGGAATTAGATCTCGAGGTTTTTAACATATACGACGATGCTGTGTCTTGATTCATTTCGTTACTCTAGAGTTTAATTAACATCTGGAATTACGCTGAACGAGTCAGACTCGGGATCTTCCAAGTTCGGCCTGAAATTTTCATCACGAGCCAGAATTGAGGTTTTCAAGTTTGGTCTAGGATTGTTATAACGAGTCAGACTTGGGATTTTCAAATTTGGCCCGAAATTACCATCGCGAGCCTGACTCGGGTTTTTCAAATTTGCCCTAAAATTTTCATCGCAACGTTCAACTGTATCGTTTCTGAACGAAGTTTCGACGTAACCTGGTAAAAGTCAAAGGACCTTAGAGGAAACCATAGGAAACTGGTGGGAATTAGATCTCGAGGTTTTCAACATAGACGACAATGCTGTTCACGGTCGAGCGATCGCGCTCGAACATTCCGAGCCGGACATACGTACGCGTACGCAACAACGTTCTAAGTCCATGAAAAAAACGAATTCGGCACGAGAACACATCAGCGCCGCGAGCCTTAGACCGCTTTACGTAACGCGACTAACAAACTCACGGTCCTTGCTCGGAACGTGGCGAACTTTTCGCGATACCTCGTTCGCCAACCCTTGCGTTCGCGAAGGTGTTGCTCGATCAGAACGCACAGCTCGATTACGCAACGCTGTACTTACGCTCGAATAACGCGACATTAGCGGAACTTTTCCGTTTCTTTGCGTCTGCAAGAAATGCGACCGCGACCGCCATAGTTTCGACAATCGCGTTGCTTTCTTCCCGATGACAAATTAATAAATTATCGTCCGTGAAATAAAAAAATAGTACGGTGTAGTAATAATTTATGTGTAGCAAGGAATTTTACAACACCAGCAACGATGTGACCACACCTCGATCAACCCTCCCGCAACATGCTCGATCTTGTTTCTAAATATAGAACCCATCCCTTTTCTTCCATTCCATAATTAATGTCACAATTTAAATAAACCGACATTCGTTGCTCTCGACCTCCTGTCACAATCACGGACACGTGGACCCCGCCATTATTGCGTTGCACTTTAATAAAAGAAAAAAAAAACTACAATCTTAGCACGTGGAGTGCTGATGGCGACCTTTAAACCAAACCTATATCAACACTGTTTCGAAATCTAGCCGTTGAGTTACGTAATAAACGTTCCTTGTTACGAACGTACGAATTGTTGCGGTTGCAATTTTTCCAACACCGGAACGTGACAAATTGCAATTCCACGAAGCATCGCGTCAGCCAAGGAATTTCGAGGCGGGCAACGTCGCCGTTTGGTAATCGTTTTCTCAAAATCCGCCCACTTTCGCACGATCGATCGTTGGATAGGGGAAACAGCGAGATATCGGCTGCTTCCGTTCCTCTGTGCGACCGCTGCTCCCATGATATTTCAAGTCGCCACGCTTGCGCAAGTCCCAAATGCTTCGTTCCCCGATAAGGTAACGTTGCACGTGGGGAATTCTTGTGCAATGATCATCCGGTAACCCGTAATTCGCTTCGATCGCGATAAGAACAGACTCCCGTGGACCTTATCGGGTCCGTCTCTATGGCAGAGTTGTCCATGACCTGGAACGTCCTTGAATTATCCCTTTCAAAATCCTTCCAAAAAGTACAGATATCGATTCGAAAATGACGAAGATGGAGTTGCACGTTTGCAGTAATCGCGATACCTCCTGGATCTTCGTTCTCAACAGTTATTCTCGGCTAATGATCCTATCCACACCACCACAGGTGAGCTCCATTCTTCTCAGCTGTCAATGATACGCATCTATACTCACTTTGAGAGCAAATGAACCGATGAAGGCAGCGATAAAACTCAACAGCGATATCCTCGATACGCGGTTGCAATCGGCACACGAAGAAAATGGCAAGTACGCGATCCATTACGCTGGTAAATGTTATGTGGATGTCCTTGGTAGGTAACCCCGATCGAAAGTCCCCGGAACTGCTGCAGACCGCGCCCACTGTTACCTGTACACCTACGTTTTTGGCCGCTGGTCAAGGGTACCGCATTTATTATCATAAGGGGACATTGATCCCGATAATTAAATCAGCTTTATTTCATACGTTGACATCCGAAGCGAAACCCGACGATAAGAACTGCCGATTGCGCGGAGTTGGGAATAAAAAGAATTTCATTGTGCACGTTGTTACTTTAACACACGTTAGTGTGGACGAATTAAAGGGAATAAAAAGAAAGAGCGGTTTCCAACTTCCAGTGAATTCCGGACTTCCAGACTTGTAAATTTATACAAGAGCGTAATCCGCGTAAGCTATGAAGGGAGATTATGTTTCGATCGGTACAAACGTCGCGTCGCATCGATCGAACGATCGATGTATTCGACGCTTTTCGATCGGGTTCGCGAGCTGTTCTAAGCGTTGCCTTTTGTTTTAACGTAAGCGATAGGAGCCGCTTTTTTTATCCTCGCGTAACAGTCGTGATTATTAGTGACTATTTCACGATAATTAGTCAACGCGTTAACTATCGTCCTTGTTGCCGTGCGAACGATTTATGCGAGGGACGTAATTGGAAGTTATTATACTAGAAATTCCTGCGATACTCGGCTGCGTACTCGATGGCCACGAATGCTTCGTGTCTACCGTTGACCGTAAATCACTTTCTCTAGTGTGATCGGTATCGAGCGCGCTACCGCCTCGAAATCTTCAACTTCCGAGCATTTCCATTTATCGATGCGAGCAATTTCCTTGGATCGCGTTACGATGACATTAATCATTCTCGCGAACCTCTCGACGATCGATGGGGCTGTCTGCAACTCGGGTATTACCGACAACCTTGGCAATGGATTCGCGAGTTTCTCGTGGAACAAGACACACTAAAACCGATATGCGAGTCTGAATAAATAATATTAAAAAATTGCATGATCCTATCTAAAGCTCGTAGGTTTCAGAATTCCTCGGGAGTTTGTTTCAAATCCGTGATCAGTTTCTGAACCATACAAAAATGGAGCTGCCTCGTTATAGCAGCGCAGCCCTCAGTTTGCAAAAATGTCTGCGCCCGTTTAAAACGAGAATCGGTTCCGAAATCGCTCGATGCCCGATTCTATTGTTAACCTTTCCCAGCAAAACTAGCGGAGTCTCACGGGCATGGATCTCGAATGTCACGAAAGATCGTTGAATGGGCTGGCGAGTCGTAGGCGTGTCGACGGTGCACACACGGTGAGCCGAACGCGTGATTACACAATGTATTCATTTTTCTGCGGGGTTTGCCCCCTGTCTCTTAGACAGTCAGGATCCGAGTCGATGCTAGGAAATTAGATCAGTCGGTGTTCAGACAGCGGTACTTGGTACACGCTCGCCGAAGGTGGCTTGGTGCTAGTTTGACCTGATCGCACAACCGCGTTGCATTCGGTGCTTTTCTTTTCCCGTTTCGACGAGCATTAATCTTCTCATCCCCCCCCGAAAACCGAGGTGTTTCGCTGCACAGAATGAGGTTGGTTTTATTCGTTTTTAATAAGTCGAGTGAATTAATTTCAACCCCTTCGTGCCAATCGTTAGTTATAGATAAATACCAGGTTAACTTGTCATAAATAATTCGCGATAATCGAACAATTTCCAGATGTATTTTAATACGTAAAACTAGGGTAATTTTTATACATTTTTAATACGAATTTATTTTTAATTACCTTGGCATAAATAAACCTCGATACTTGAGCGATTTAGACTGCGATCTTGTTGGAGTTTTATGAAGTTTTACCTTTCCTTGACGTAAATGAAATTATAACTTACGTCGAAGAATTGGATCGATAACATACAGTAGTCGCGTGGCTCTCAAATATTCGTAACATGGTTAAATGTCAGAGTACTAGGCACGCCTTGGCGATTAGTAAACCTGATAGGAAACAGAGAAAATTCATTTCGAGTTTAAACAATATTTATAGCACGCAGGTGTAGCACGTAACTATTGGTCGTACTTACACTTCGCGACTGTAATATTTCCTTGTTCATTAATCTCTCTTTCGATCCCATTTTATTATTAAAGAATAATCAATTAATTATCCGTTACTCTTTTAATCGAACTTGGCGACACGATTCTATTTTTCTATTTCTCCTCTGGAATTTATTGCTATTAATTTCGTTAATTCTTTATTATTCGAATGAAATTACGCTAGCTCGTTTATTCCTCGCGCATTACAATGTCAAAGACAAGAAGAACGTGACTGGCACAAGACGCGATCTCATATTTACATAAACCTGTCGTAACGTACGCAGGAATAAACCGGAAGCATCCGATGCGTTCAAGATCAAGTACGCGAGGAGAAGTTTTTCTGAAAATAACACTGGTTACGATCCATGGTAATTAAAATTTCTATGTGGAAGCTCGACTCGAAAACCGTACGAAATTGTTAAGTGGTACAGATCCTAAGCTTCCATTTTTTTACCGTTGATATTCTCGAAAGTTTCGAAATGAAGCTACCGCGCGCGACAACGTCGTTCGCCTCGACGGTTAAATAATTTCATTGTTTCGCGGGCATCCATTGTTGTAAAATATACGCAGAAAGCGATGTGTTTGCAAGCTTGACGCGGGTCGTGGTCTCAAGAATGGGAGCGGACAATCGGTTTATAAAGTGAAACTCGCCTTCTTGCGGCTTTAAAAAACAAGAAGTCCGATCCCATTATCATTTCAACACGTTCATGTTTACAACTGCGAAAATCGTGCGATCGTGACTTTCACGTTGTTTGCATTCGCTGCTATCGGAGGTAGTAGGAGACGTTGTTGTTAAAACTTCTCGTAGTTTACTGTGCAGCACAGATAACGTGACGTTGGCGATCCGGAGTGTTTTTTATTTTTCCAGACTTTCTTTTCGCCCATATATCTTTTTCTTTTTGCATACATCTTTGGTTCTTGTGACCTTGATCCTTCACATCTCTTCTTACCTTTAAGCTATAGGCTTTAAGCTATAGCTATAGGTTAAACGATGGATAAAAATGTTTTCTTCGATGAAAGTGCGTTGGGTAATTAATTGATCAGATACCGAGAGACGTGAATTGGTTCTTAATTAATAACCAGAAGAAACCTTCAATTACGAGCGTGTTGAAGTCTCTATCGCGCTTTGGAACTTTTTTTAATCTTATTTTCACTGCAACGGGTTCCGTTGGCGACTTTAACAGGGGTTCCCAACTGGAGTACTTCTCTGAGCTGAATATCTTTCAGACCATAATGATACCATCGGATTACGAATCTTTTTTTTTTTTATTTTTAATTACTTGTATTACTTGAATTTACATCAACCACGAGGGTTACTAGCGACCGCGTCAATGATTACGATTTAATTTCAATATATTTCTATTAGGATAGACTGCATACTATTTAAAAGTTTAAACTCTACGGCACCTGTGGTCCTCTGTTACGAATTACAGGGGCCTCCTTCTCGTTCTCCTGGTAGGCTTCGCCCGCACCAGGGCGGAAATGCTGGAAACGATAGCTCAATGGCCACTTCTGGACTTCGCCCTTCCTTACGATCGAGAGTTCCTGAATCAGTATCGTCCCGAGAACGTGGTGCCTACTGGTATCACGGTCGGCTGGGACAAGATCTTCGTCAGCATCCCAAGATTGCGCGACGGCGTACCGTCGACCTTGAACTACATACCGAGAAACATTCCTTTGAATAGCAGCCCTCAGCTCCAGGCCTACCCATCCTGGGATTGGCACAGTGCTGGCAAGGGAGACCTGAACTGCTCGAAACTCATCTCCGTCTACAGGACGCGACTCGATAGGTGCAACAGGCTGTGGGTCGTCGACAGTGGAGTAATGACCTCGATCGACGACTTCAGGCCTGTTTGCCGACCGAAAATCCTGGTCTTCGACCTGCAAACTGACACGGTGGTGCGACAGTTCACCTTCCCTCGAGAGGTAGCTATCGCTTTGCTTGTCCATTTCTTATCTCTAAGCCACGGGCTTTCGATACTTTGTACCTTGAAAAAAGAGTCAGAAGTGTAAACTACGTGTGCTACCAACATGTAAATGTGTTATTTCGATTTCTATATAAATACCGACTTGCATCACCGTTGTAGCAACAGTACCTTTGGATACCTCGATATCTCTGTCGCATACTGTAGAATTCTTTATTTCTCCTTGCAGGCTTTAAGACCCAACACGCTGCTGACGAACGTCCTGATCGACGATGTTTCAGCGACCACCTGCGACGACGTGTTCCTTTACATAACCGACACGGCAGGACCTGGTCAGTAGCTAGTTTCTCAATTACTTATTTTCGACTTCGATAGCAGTTTTCCCGTAAATGTCACTGTCCCTTCAGGCATCCTGGTCTTCGACGGCGCGACGGACAGAAGCTGGCGCGTCACGCACGCCACTATGTACCCGCATCCAGATTTCTCCACTTACAGGGTAAGATTTCTACCGATTTTTTCTTTCGGGTTGTTACCTTACAAGAGAAAGGCAAGCGCAGAGCTTCGCGTAAATAGCGAAAGATGAGGAAACGAGGGGTACCGAATCACGAATAACTAAACGAAAATCGAGAACGGTTTTGCATGACTCGCGATGCACGCATAATTTTTCCATAATTGGCGCAAATTACACGCTAACGCGTTTCCCCGATGAATATTCACACGGGGCCAGGACGAGCATTCCTTTTTAAGAGTGCTTTACGACGCAGGAAACACGCCGAAGAAAAAATTAACAACTGATGCCAGCTGAAAGTTTGTAGGAAGTAAGAAGGCTCGTAGGAGCAACGAACAAACTCTCTACCTTTGAATATTTAGATGTTTATCATTATCGAAAGGAAGCATCGCATCCTGGTGGGCGTATGTGCGAGACTCGAATCAAAGATGGCCGCGTAAAATAAAATACAAATTTTTCTGTCAGATCGGTAGCGACACGTTCGAGTTACTGGACGGTGTCGTGGGATTGGCGTTTTCTGCGAGATTAGGATTGGTGTATTATCAGCCGCTGGCGACCGACAGGATCTTCAGCGTGCCGACCACGGCACTTCAAGCGGGTCCACCGCCGTTTGGCGAGCAATTGCCGGTGACTTTGGTCGGCAGAAAGTCCAGTCAAGGTCTCGCGTTGGCCGTCGATCCACGAGACGACAAGATCCTCTTCTCGCCGTTCACGGAAACCGCGATCGCCGCCTGGCAGCCGCAGACCAACCAGCAGAGGTGAAAACTCGCAGTTTCCCTCTTAGTTTTTTATTAGAGTGACAGTAGAGTCTGATAAGGCATTAGGGATTCCCGTCATCGAAGAAAAACAGAAGTAATACGGTATTCGTTTCAGGATCCTGGCTTTCAGTCCAGAGAAGCTGCAATTCGTCGCTGAGCTTCGCTGGGCAGACCGCGACAATGGCAACATTTGGGTGTTGACATCCAGGTTTCAGAAATTCTTCCGGCGGGAGGTGAACGCGCGCGACATCAACATTCGGATCATGAGGATGATTCCCGAGCCCCGTTCGCTGAAAAACGCAGCGCTTGCTTCGTACCAACAACAACGGTTTCCACTGTATTTCTACAATAATACGTTAGGCTTTTAGGGACGTTAGCGTAGTCAGTATCGTTTGGCATACATCCAACGGAAAGTTTCGCAAACTTTCGTTAACCCTTAGAAACCTGATTTTTCAAATTAAATTAACAAACTAAAAAAAATATATCAATGTATTTATTATTTGAACAATTTTGACAGCTGACGTTTGTATTTTTAACTTTTATTCAAATGGATATCATGCAATGGTAACGTAGATGCAGTCAAATATTAAAAATAAACCAATTCCAAGTGTAAGATTCGATTTGAAAGTCCGATATCAAATTTGAAGTTTAGGACATTTAAGGGTTAAAGGGTTACGCCATCTTGAAAGACCGAATTAGTGGAATTTTCTGGTGAGGAGCAAGGGTTGACATATAAACGCTAGAAATATTAATGCTCACGCGGTACAGTATTGAAACTATTATGCTATCCAAGCATAAAAAATATATAGTAGGTTTCTATTACGGAAGAATTCGTTTAAATTATTAGTCCATCCGCTAACATGTATATACGCTAGGACACTTTGGTCAAATGATAGTGTGTATGTGTGTGTGTGTGTGTGTGTCAAGGGAGTAGAAGCGCTAAAAAAACTACACGTCTTTGTTCGTTATTCTAACGTTAATCGATTTCGAATCTTTTCTCGATGATCACGTTTTCGTTCGTCCATTGTAGACATTAAATCATAGTCCAAAGTTAAAAGTTCGAATCACGAGGAACTGGTTCTCCGGGATTCAATAATTATTTTCTGGACGTGAATCCAAATGTCGCCTTTCTAAAAATATCTGTGAACATTCCTGGAAGCAATAAAATATATTCAAACTTCCCAAAACGACGCAGATTCTCCTAACGATGTTTCCCCGGATGTATTCCCCTCCCCCCCCCCCCTTAATCACCGCTTGTTATTCGAAACGTTGCACATTCGCTCGGAAACGTTATCGATCGACGGGATCGCTGAGCTTCAGGGAATAATACATCGATCGAGAAACAATCGTGACTTCGTCGATTGCATAATTGGATTTTTACGCGTTCGTCGTTTCCAACGCTCGAGCGTTTCGTCTTACGAGCGCCGCGTAAACACGCCGAGCGCGAAATTCATGTAACCGACGCGTGAGGCAAATGTATCCGCGTTATTAAGCAATTTTGCAAATTATCGTTAATCGCAAACACGTGCTACAAGGTAGACGTTCAATCGAGAAAGGACAGCGGAACGCGCGTAAATCGTCGCGAAACTTACAACGATTCACAGAAACAAGCCCCGTAACATGATTCGGGACGAAGCATACCCCCTTGAGGGATCCAGGAGTTCGATCGCCGAGTAATGTAAAAACGACCTGGGAACGGATTATTCGGTGAGACAATTTAACGCAACGGTGAAACTTTTTTCTTTCCTAAAATTTTTATTTCGACTCGTAGGAGTCAACGGACCGTCCACCGAAATTTCGTGAGCTTTCGAACCAGTTTCGTGGCCGTGACCAGGAAAACCACGACATTACGGCTTGTTCAACTTACACAGCTCGACCACAGCGAACACGAGATGCTTGATCGACTGCGGAGATCGTTGCTCCGCGACCATCGATGTTTTCTCAGTTCCTCCTCGATCGCGACGTGGAGCGCAGCGTCTCCATTCCGCGTTACCTTCGACAATTTTCACGCCGATTCTCCATCGTGCGAGCAATCGATCGAAAAATTTCGGTCGCGCCCGAATAACAGAAGTATAAATCTAAAAAGATCGTACACGTCTTCTCGCGAGTATAGTCGAATTCCTATTAATTCCAATCGATCGTTCCGCGATTCTCGAGAATCCAGATCCGGGCTTTTGAGTCCTCCTTCCAACTGTGACAAAAATTTCTCATCGAGATTATGACACTGCGTTACGTATCCAGGGAAGTCTTTCGCGGACAATGAGAGCATGTTGACCGGTCGTTGTTTCTTATCGCGCGAGGGTTATCGCAACGTCGGTTTGCACTTGCGATTGCAATTTTAAGAAGACGACGGTGTAAAAAAGTGCTCTAAATTGGATCTGCCCGAATCGAGGTTGATCCCAGCAGAATCGTAACGGCGTTTGTCGTATTCGTGTCACTTCCGTTGCGGTGAAAGTTGTGCGGAAGGAAAGAGAGGGTGTCGCAGGACTAGGTATCGGATTCGCGAGAAAACGAGAGAAAAGATCGCCTGGTTTCGCTTCCACAATTCGCTCAACGATTCATCGAAGCCTGGGTGCGAGTTACGCGCGACTTTGGCGAAGAATTTTCTTATCGACAGGTGAGTTTCCCTTTCGATCGATGTTCTGAATTGGAATCGGACATGGACGAAATTCTACCATGCTACCTCGAATAAAATTAGCGAGAACCAAATAAACCAACCCCCGATTCTGATGCAGTCAGCATGAGAAGTACAGCAAGCAATTTAAAGTAAAATTAATAAGAAAAGAAATGAGGTTAACATACAAAATAATCAACTTTCATCTACGCAAATTCTACTCTAAGTTCATGTAGGGATGTCGATTAATTATTTCGTCCCCTAAAATTTATTAACAAAATAAATATACGAAGTTTTATCTTGAATCGGTTCCTGTACGAACACTTATTACACCGACTGTGTACGTTTCAAATTTCCAAAGATTCCGAAGTTTCCTCTGTTCGAGCCTGAAGTCTTTCGCGTAAAGCATGTTTAGACAACGAGAATGTCGTAAGCATTACGTAATCTTTAACAAGCATATCGACAAAGTTTCGAAGTCACGTACAAGTGTTTACTACTCGCTAAACGTTTGAAAATGTTATCCGATGTTTCTTCAAAGTACACTTGTACACGCGTTCTTTATTACCAGTACACGTACTTTGTCTCGCCGCATCTTAAATTCGGTATAAAAATTCACAGCGTTCGCCGGACGAGTCCCGTTGCGAGATACTGTTCGGAATAAACGAAGCGTTCAGCGCGGTACTCGCAACTCCCGCCAGAATCGTGAGGTGTCGTTACTTCTTTTTTTTTTTTGTTTCCTTTAATTGATTACGCCAGCGAGTGCATCGCGAGATAAATCATACCAGAAGACGTCTTCGAACCGATAACATCATTTGCGCTCGTAGCACGGAGATGAATCCGTTTTGCTGGACGATCCTGCTGATCGTATCGATTTCCGGTGCGCGCACGTACGAGAAGCTGAGGAGCATCTACGCGTGGAAGAGATTGGAATACGCGTTTCCAAACGAGCTTGCCAGGCAGAACGCCATCAAAAGTGGAGAGTTCGTACCTGGTGCTGCTGTGCCCATCGACGTCGACGTTTACAACGGAGGTAATTAAGAATTAATGGGAGAAATATATATTTTAACACTTTCCAGGTACAATCACGAAAATATTCGCGGAGCTAAAATTTTGATCTCGAATAATTGGAAACTACGCAATCTAACATTTGCGTTAGTATTTAATTTTACAATTTTATCAAAATTCGCGAATTCTATCCAGACTTGTTTTCGTCGACGCCTGGTCTTCGTTGCATTAATTTTGTAATTTCTTAAGCTCTCTTAAAAGTGCATTTCTCATTCTCGTCTCAACGTAAATATAGTACGAATTATAAACGAAATGAGAGACAAAGGAGAAAGCGAACGTTGCACCGTTTCGAGTGCAGCACGTTTCTTTCGTTTTATCCAGGCCACCAGTCGAGGGTCTTTGTCACCACACCGAGGATCGAGAACGGTATACCTGCTACGTTAGGCTGCGTCATCGATGACCAGACGCTGGATGGGAATCCCATGATCGCGCCGTACCCGAATTGGGGTTACAACTCTCTGGGAAACTGCGACTCGATCACCAGTGTCTACAGAATGAAGGTAATCCATCCACAGTTCGCAGATCGTTATTCTCTGTTTACCTCGAAGTCGTTAATCAGTTTCGTTCTTCGGCGAACTTGTCACGCTTTGGACTTTGAGCTGTCGAGTCGGAAAATTTGCAAAATATACCGGCTTTGTTTCTCGAGTATCGACATAGGCCCTGTCTAACCTTGTAACAAACGCTTTGACGAACGATAACTAATTGCGCGAATGATTGCCGGGTGAAAATGCCGAGACATTATCGCTGTCACCGAACGTAATCTCACGTTCGTTCATGGGCTTTCCCCTATTGGTATTCTTCGAGTTCCTATGCTACCAGGAAATTCCACTGAATGTAAACAAATAGAGCGACGAATTAACAGCGATAAGTTAACATAACGGTCTTAAAATGCTAATGAAATATGTTTTTTTTTTAATTGGTGTGAATTAAAATAAACCACTGGATGAGTCATTTAAGCTCTTTCTATGTATCTATCACTGCTCTCTAGCTCGAGAGAAATTAACCCTCAACAGCGATAAGTTAACATAACGGTCTTAAAATGCTAATGAAATATGTTTTTTTTTTTAATTCGTGTGAGTTAAAATAAACCACTGGATGAGTCATTTAAGCTCTTTCTATGTATCTATCACTGCTCTCTAGCTCGAGAGAAATTAACCCTCGACATCTTTCGTTTGCAATTAGATAGACGAGTGCGGTCGCCTGTGGGTGCTCGACACAGGAAAGGTAGGGGACAACTACGTTTGTCGGCCACAGATCCTCGTGTTCTCTTTGGAAACGAACGAGTTGATCTCCAGGTACAGATTTCCCCGGGATCAGTACAAGGACGACTCTCTCTACGTCACCGTAGCCGTCGACGTCCGCGATCCTCATCAGCAGTGCAAAGACACGTTCGCCTACATCGCCGACGTCACAGGATTCGCGTTGATCGTTTACGATTACCGCAACTCGCGATCCTGGAAGATCGTCAACAACTTGTTTTACCCCTATCCACCGTACGGCACCTTCAACATCAGGGGTGAAACGTTCGATTTGATGGACGGCATCCTGGGACTCGCCCTGGGACCCATGCACCACGGTGACAGAACTCTTTACTTCCATTCTTTGGCCAGCAGGGTCGAGTCGTGGGTGCCTACGTCGGTGATTAGGTGAGTTACAGGTTGGTTGGTAGTTTAAACCCTTGCAGTGCGAAGAAACTCTTAAGCGCCTGAAGGGTCGCAGTAAAAACAACGAGCCAGACTCGTGATTTTTACAAATTTTCATAACGAGCCAGTCTCGCGATGGAAATTTTGGGCTAAGTATGAAAATCCTGAATCTAACTCGTTATGAAAATTTTGATTCAAATATGAATATCACGAGTCTGGCTCACGATGAAAATCTTAGGCCGAATGACTAATTACTCGACTAAACTACAAATATTAATTACTAAACTACAATTATAGAAATCACACCATGTTTGACGGGAACGCGGAGGCTTCGGCAAGGTCGTTCGTTCCGTTTACGTTGGAGAGATCATCCCAGTCGGCAGCACAGGCCATGGATCGTAACGGAGTCCTCTTTTACGGTTTGTTATCGGAACTGTCGATTGGATGTTGGAACAGCAAAAGTTACCCCGAGTACGGAGGTAGTCATAACGAGGTCGTCGTCACTGACCCTGAGACCTTGCAGTTCCCTGCTGGTATGAAGGTACGAACCGGTCGTTTTTCATAACATCGGTCGTGGTGAATTTCGATGGAAATATTCTCATACGATTCACATTTAATCGAGGAACAATCGAGCCAAGTTTTGTTCAAATCTTCCATTAAACATATTAGTTCACGATCGTACGTAGACAAAGTATACTTGGTCGTATAATTTTTCTTCTTCTTCTTCTTATCTCTATGGTAGATCATAACTTCGAAGAACGACAGGCAGGAGATCTGGATCCTGACGGCGTCCTTCCAAAAGTACATGACTGGTTCGTTGAATTCGAACGAGACGAACTTCAGGATCCTGGCTGGCTTCGTGGAAGAATTGGTCCGTGGCACTAAATGCGACGTGGTTGCAACTTCGATTCGAAACGTGGCTAGTTCTCACTATAAATGAAGATCGTGGCACCGCGAGCAATCTTCCAGCTACCACCGCGAGGGTTTGTCGCCATATTGGCGGTACTCCTTCTTCGCGAGCAGACCGTTCAAGTATTTTTATCCTCGCGATCGCTATTTCTATTCGCAAAAGTATTTCGAGAGCTTCCATTATCCGCGTTATCGGGATCGGATCCACGGTTACTCCGTCTTCTTGGGTCATCGATGAAGGTCTTCGCGTTGAACTTGCTCGTGGTTGTTGCTCGCGGTGCTCGACGGGTATTCGACGTTTAGAGAATTCATTTAAACCGATATTTATTGTTGCGTGTGTGAATGTACATTTTGTATACGTGTTCTCTGTTTGACTAGTTGCGTTAATTTCTAATAAAAACTATTAACGTACACGTAAGAAAATCGAGCGATTGTATTCAGACTTTATCGATTCGTGGATTGCTATGTAACAATAAGACGTATCTATTACCCGGTGATAAATAAATCGACGAAGTAAATAAACGTTACCACAAAAACAAAGTAAAATACTGCGTTACGGTGTCACTTATTCTCGTATCAAGACAGAAAATTAACATGAAATTACGTAGTTAAGAATTTGAAATTTGAAGAGGCTGCCATATTTGATGTATCATAACAACGTACTATCGAAAAGAGTTCTTATCCTTTACAATCATCTTTCTTTTATTCGCATACAAATACAATTTCTTCATTGACCCGCTGACGACCAGGGATCATTATTTAAACAAAATATGCGACGCAAGAAAGTTAACGGCACAATTTCCAGAACGCTATCTGCGTACGGCAATTAACCCGACGTAACTCGTAAAACTCAATGCTCTGGAAATACCGTTTCCAACGGTATAATTTTTTCCTCGTATCTTTTCTTTACTGTACCCTTATCATTTTTCCTTATCTGCTGGCATACCAGAAGGTCGTTAATTTATATTTATTGCGACGTTACCGCGATTTTTCGCTCACTCGTTCTTTTTTCTTGCGTCGTGTTACGTTAACTTTGTCAGCATCTATTAATTACAATATCTCGTTCGCATAACAGAACCAGAGTAAGCGTACTCTAAATTACACCGAACTGAAAAATTTTACATTTTTTACGGTTATTGTTCGCTTAATTAGCTCGATATGATTTTAAGAATAATTTTTAGAAATATGTGGTGGTCGTGGTGGATGGCGCTCTTTTTCGGAGCGGTCTCTTTGGAGAGGCAAGTCGAGACCCTTCAGGTCAAGAGTCACAAACTTCAAACGAAACTGGAGATGAAGTACGTGGACTTCGAGTTCGATAGCGACAAAGAGAGGAAGGAGGCCATCGACTCTGGCCGATACGATCACACGAAATGCATTCCTATAGACGTCGATCGATGGGGGAAAGGTAAAGTATAGTTGACTGCCGAACTACTCGTGAAAACTTATACGAGCCTGTTGCACTTTGTTTCTATACAACCGAACCTTATTTTTGCTGAATTCAAAATTAGAAAAGAAAAAAAGAAAATCTTAAAAGTGTCGACATTTGAAATCACAAAATTGTATAGTGTACGAATTCAAATCTTTTTATTTGTATCTTTTCCGTAAAGTTCGTTCGAGAACGTAATTAAAATTCGTTATTTTACGTCTTGGTTCGGTACAAAAATCTGCAAAAATTCACAAAAAGGTATTCGGTAGGGTACTGTAATATAAAACAATTTCTTTCGAAACGTCAAACCTATTATTTAGTTTAGACAAATACCACGAGTAAACACAGAGAGCACGAATATTTACAAGGGTTTCGTGGCGATCAACTTGTTATTATAATATCGATATACATGCTATGAACGGTAAACTGCAAGGCTCTTGGTGGAGAGGCTGCAGAAATACTTTGTTTATTGAAACGATATTTATTATTTTCTGCCTGACGAATGACTTGGTTTCAAGATCGCATGTTCGTCACGGTAGTAAGAGACAAAGGCGTGCCTGCCTCCTTGACCACCGTGTCCAATAAAATGGGCCCCGGTGGTCCTCTCCTCAAACCTTATCCAAATTGGAGTTGGTACAATCACAACAACTGCAACAAGCCACACATCATCGGCGTTTACAGAGTCGCGGTGAGCGAAATTCTCGACTCATCTAATCTCGACTAGATCTAATCTAACTTATCCTAGTCGAATAACTGTCATTCGAATATTATTGCGCGTCGTGTTCAGATCGACCAATGCAACAAATTGTGGGTCTTGGACACCGGCATGACGGGCTCGGAAGCCACGTGTCCTCCGCAACTTCTCAGCTTCGATCTGATAACGAACGAACTCCTGAGTGCAGTTACGGTGCCAAAGGAATTTGCGGTGAATTCCACCACGGGCAAAGGATTGCTGGTGACGCCGATCGTCCGGACGGGTGGTTTTAGATGCTGGGAGACTCAAGTAAGTGTTATTTGTCGTGTTACTTGTATTGCCCGTAAATAAAGTATTATTATTATTATTATTATTATTATTACAATTAGAAGTCGGCAGGATAAACTATTCTTCGTGACAGGTATTCATAGCTGATCCAGACGGCTACGCTTTACTGGTGTACGACACCTCTTCGACCAAATGGAGTCGAGTGATTTCGAGCGCGTTGGTCTACGATCCGAAAGCGGTAACTTACACGATAGCGGGAGAGAGTTTCGATTTGATGGATGGACCCGTAGGAATGGCCCTATCCCCGACAGGAGAGACACTTTACCTCAGCCCGATGTCGTCCTACAAGATGGTGTCTGCCAGCACCGACCAACTTACTCGTGCGAAAGGCGTCGACGATTCGGTGCCATTCGAAGTGTAATTAACTTTAGAGAATTCTTTCTCCGTGTTGGCAGATCTCTGGAGTTGCAAAGGAACTATTTCGCTTTTCGGTTCTAGGCACGAGAAGCTGGATTCTCAATTGAGTGCCAAGGCAATGTCGAGAAAAGGAACTCTGTTCTTCGGAATCACAAGAAACGCGTCCATCGGGTGCTGGAACGAACGCAAAGCGCTAACCGAGGACAATATGGTCAGTAGTCCAATAACAAATAGAACAGACTTTGTGTACAGCATTCATATGCAACGCGCGAAACATACACAATTGCTTCATGCATTATTCAATTTAGTTCCGCGTAAAATATTGTTGCATTTCATTGAAAGAAGTGTCTTTAACCCTTTATAAGGCAGAACTCCCATTGGCATTTTTGTTCACGTTCTTTTGTGAAAACAGGTCATCCCTCAGTGACCTATAAAGGGTTGAAACTAGTCGTTTATTTCATCGCGGTAGAAATAGTTACAAACGAACGTCGATAATGTTAAAAGTGTTTAGGATGAATTTCGCAAGAGTGCCTTCGTCTGATTGCAGTTGATAATCGCCCAGGATCCTGAAGACCTACAGTTCGTCAGCGGGGCGAAAGTTGTAAAGGGTAGGTATCAGGTTTCGGAAGAGTTGCTAGTGCTTTCGAATCGTTACCAGAAATTCGTGACGGGTACAATGAATTTCGACGAGATTAATTTCCGTATCCTGAAAGGTAATGTGAGGCATATGATAAAGGGTTCTGTTTGCGACCAATGAAAATGACGGCATCAGGATGGCCGAGATAAAGTAGAAATACTTACAGAAAGATAAATCGCTAATATATTATGATTTTTATTTAAAAGTAGTAAATACGTAATATTACGAATAACAACATATTGAATATTCAATAGTTGAAACAGGAAGTGTCGAAAGCGTTCAACATGAATTAGTCTCTTGGACACGTTGAATATTTTCCGGTGAATAAACCGTCTTTACTTTACGTTTGGCGTGATGGGAAGAAACCTGTAGCTTTAAATTTAGTAATCATTCTCTGCGCAACAGTTTTAGAAGGAATAAACGTTTGGGGATATTTTATCGTGAAACTTTTAGCTATTGTTACGACAGATTTATATTCAAAATAACGTTCAAAAATAAGCACTGTTCGTTTGAAAACGGCATTGTGGACAAACACGAGATGGCCGCTGACCATTGCTACTTGTGGTGGCACTTCCTCTTCGCTGCTAGAAGGACACCGCGCATCCTGGCGTTTCTCACAAGTGTTCGGTCCACCTAGCATGCATATATAAACCATTCTCGACCGATTTTTAAACAACGGTCCTGCTAGGTGGTCTCACTGACGAGTCCACTAACTTCCTTTTCTCTTTTCTCTCTCGCTCCACCCTTCACTTAATTTGAAAAGTCCAATCAGCAACGACGACCATTTACGTCGATCACGCGTTATCTCCATTTGAGTTTAAATCGATTGCGTAATTCTTGCGTCGATTGAACCGATCTTTTTCATCCCGCTTAAAAGCGCAGCTGATATCGCGACACCATTTTTGCAGGGCCATAAGGGTCCTCCTCGTTGTCCGAGAAATTAGATCGCGAATTTCGTAACGATCCCAGGCCGATTTTATGCAAACTAACGTAGGAGGTGCGTTACTCGGATATTCGCGGCAGGCGTTCAGATTACAAGACGCGATATTACGAATCGCCTACTTTCGAGCAAACCGACAGCCATATAAAAGACAGACTCTACTGGATGACTCGGTTAGTACTTCTCTTTATAGTCGACAGCAGAGGTAACGAACGCTAAAAAAAACTGACTTGACCGATGGCGGAAGTCAACGAGATTTCTTTTACGTTATTGCGAGTGAAAACGTGCGATACTCGCGCGATGATGCGACGACAAATGTGTGAAAGGTGAATCGCTCGAAAGTTGTAGCTAAAAGTAATTTTAGCGCGGATATTCGCTTCGATATTCAAACTAAACGGCGTTGTTACTTTCTAAAATTATACTTTTCGCCCAGAATTTAGTACGAGAAAAGATAGGAAATTATTATGCAATATCGACGTTAATGTACGTATATAAAAATGTTGCACGAGGAATTAGGGAATTGGGTATAACACGTCAGCGAGTACAGAGAAAACGTTACGGACTGCTTTCTCGAGTTTGAGTCGGATCGTTCAGACCGACAATCGATCGTCGAGTGTCAGTCGGCGAGATTAAGTAATCTCGGACGGTTCTGTGCATCGTCGGTCGAACGTGTTTTTCACGAGAAAAGCGACGTTCTTGGCTAAACTTGGAAAATCGTCGGGGTGGGGGGAAAGTCGGGAGAACTGGAAGCGAAAAAAAGGTAGCTCGAAATTGACTCGTCTCTCGACGAATGACAGCGAACGCTTTATTTCGGGACTAGTGTCTTCTCGATGGTGACAATCCGCGTGACCTGCGTTACAAAAATGACGAAGTGTGCTTTTCCCGAATAGTAATCAGCGAGTTTGCGAATTGGATATAATCAGATTTTTGTACAAGGTAAGTTCCTATTTTAATTCTTTATTTAAACCGATGTTTGCCGAATCGTTATTTAGTCAATTTTGGCCTAACTAGTAGACAAAGTTGGAAATTTCATCCCATACGAAAGTGAGTTTCAAAAAGAAAACCTTTACTTTTCCTGATCGGTGAGTCACGACCTAATATTGCTAGAAAATACTGCGCGCAGTGCATTAGATGCACGGTCTCCGAGGCGTTCTAAATAGGAAGTGACTTCTCAGATCGTTAATACTCTCGATCTCCGGTGGAAAGCGATATTTATACTAAATTCGAACGGTCGCGCATCATTTGTCGAGCGAATCGTTGGAACCGGACAAATACGCTATATTTATTGCTAACGCGAGCCGTTTCTCTCGTTTCTCAGCCGGTTCGATGACCATGAGCTTGACTTTACCAACGCGTTGCCAAACGTGTCCGTGTTTCGTTAGCGTCCAAGAACAAAAGCAAACTATTATTTTTATATTGATAGGGAAACAAACACGCATTAAAATATGGAAGTTGCGATTACGAATCGTCATTTTTCATTTATGTAAGCTTCTTTCCATTGAAATGAAAAAGGGAAATCGCTAGAAATTCCGTTCCACTCTGCTACCTTTTGTTTTTACTACTTGGCGCGTTCGATGAATAATTACGATACCATTTAGTATTAATTTCGTATTAATTTTACTACGATACATGTTGGATGAAACGTAACGAGGATCTTGAGGAAAATGATAATGAAACAGTAATTGAGTAGGGAGAGTTGAAGTCAGACTTGCAAAACTAACATCCTCGTTGCGGTACAGTTCTCGATTAAAAAATTGCTTGTACCATATTCGCGAAGCCATGCGTATAAAATTGGATCGATCGAGTCGAAGCACAAAAAAGGCAAACGAAAGCGTGGCCCCATGTTTTATTCGCACAAACAAGTAAACGACACCGCAGACTCGCGGCCGTTGCGAAACTCCACCTTGAATGGAGTCGGCGGAAGACGATTATGTTGCGGACCATGTTTTTCTATCGCACTTTCTCGACGACCCAATTACGCGTTCTAATTGAGTCGCGTGGCTGAACTTCGTTACCGTTTCTGCAGAGATGCCATAATGAGGAAGAGCGGAAGAAGAACCTACCCGGAAACCGGAAGACACGGTTGGCCAAGGGACGCGTGGACGTCGATGAACCTGCCCGAACGACAGAACAGCTACGTCTACGTCTCACCGAGTCATTCTTTCGTTTACGCTTTGGACACCCCGAATACTTTAACGTACGACCATAATTGCGTGCAGCAAAAAGTGCCCAGACAAGGGTCGCCGGGTAAGTTTAATTCGTTCGTCAACGGTATTAACATTGCCCCTTTCGTAATTAGTATCTGACGCTTGGTTTACTGGACCGCGAGCGTTTTGATTCATTTTTAATCACGACAAAGTTTCAGAGAGACTGTTTACACTTAGTTGATAACCAAAATCCTCTTTCACATCGAAAATTGAACGAACATATTTCATTCAACGTTCAGGAGCAACACGGCAATGCCGTCGGACACAACTGCGCGCCATTGTGAAATTAAAACGAGTTTCGAGGAAAAACAATGGGGCAGCGTGCAGCGGGTGTATCCTCGTAAAAATATGATTACGATGGCCGCTAAGGCCGCGGAGCAAATTGTTTTCCGGAAAAACGCACGCGCCATGGTTCGAACGTTTCGTGTTTCTTCTGCGTGACAAGAACTATCGCGATTTAGCGTTACGCAATGCAGTTTTCCCTGCTCTGAATCGACTCGAGCCTAGATTACGTCCGTTCGAATAAGTTTACGGAAATACCTTTAAATTATTCGTAATGTCATATTCTATTTATTTCGTTACGAACAAAAATTTGAAAGAAACGCTGTCTATATAATAGTAAGATTAAGATAAACCAATGCTTCGATGACCCAAAGAGGAGCCTCTGAATGGCTTCTTTTCAAAGCGTACATTAAATGAGGGAAGATTTTAACGCAAAGTAAAATTAATTCTATACGCTAAAGTCTACACTGCGATTTGTAACACGGTACAACAATTTGCTGGGTCCGAGCAACTCGAAAGAGAGAGCATCGATCGCGGTGCAATCATTGCGCGCGCTTCGTAACAAGCGATCATTAAGCGAGTGTGAAATGCTTTTGCCACGAATGGAAGACGATCTTCGCGGAATTTCAATCTCCCTCGCCTCTAATTTATCCGTGCCCCGTCTATCCCAATTTCTTTCCATCTGCCATCTATTTTCCCGTTTTACTCTCTATCTACGTTAGATCGAAGAGGCCAAGCGTTCTCACGAGATTAATGCTGGCGTAACGATGCTCCGATGGATTCGCCCGAACGGATTCCCTGTTTTGCAACCTCGAGAAACGATTGCTTAAAACTCGCTCGAAATATCGAGCCATCGGCGCGAGTAGCGGATTCGGAGCAAAATATTGTGGGAAACGCTCACGCGACCAGAATAACGTTAATTAGACGGTTGCTTAATCCCCGGTGGTTGTTGGGTGTATGATTTATACGGTACGGCAACGCTGATTATCTCTTTAGGTTAATCGAGTCGTTCGCGTGGCCGGCGAGCATCATATTTTCACCTGTGCCTATATCATTAGCGTCATCTCGGCTGATCGCGTGTTGAATTTGCCGAAGGATCTCTTTCGTTTAGGTCATTTACGAGGGTAGCTAATCGACGCATTCTATCTTAATCCGTTGGAATTCGATGTTGCGTGAAAGTTTTTTTTTTTTAGTATTACAAGCTTTACAGGGAGACTCGAAAGATTTGCTTCGTCGTTGTTTATTTCATCGTATATAATTGTCGCGTTGATTTTCTTGAATCTTTAGGGATACAGGAATAAGAAATTCGTGGAGTTCTGATTGTCTTAATTTTAAAGAGGCGGACCCAACCGGGATTCGAACACCAGGGCTCTCTGTGTGGCATTCGGCTACGCTACGCACTGCTCCACCGTCCGATCCCGCATATATTTACAACAAGTTATCTAGTTCTTTATCTATCGTCCTCTTGGTCGCGATTTAAAGCGAACGATAAAAAATCTCGCGTGTCAGGATAATAGGCGGCTCCCTCTTCCTTGGTATCACGAGCACGAAACGGGGCTCCCATGAACAGGCCGCCAATGACCTATACCACAGCCTCGTAACACGGACGAGAGGGAAAATCTTCTCCGAGAGAAGGGATTCGCCATTCTCTCCTTTCGTAGTACACCTAGACACACTTATGACCCGGATAGTGAATATGGCAGTCGGGTAACATCCACGGGCTCATCTCGCGCGAACACCTTTACGTGGCCATCGTCATTCGCGTGTTTGTCGCCACCAATTCCTGGACTTTGTGTCCTGGAAATTCTCGTTACCTCCGTACAGTGCGTGTCTTTTTTTTTTTTTTCTCTCCTGCGTGAAAAGCCTCCGGGAGAGTCAGTGGGTCACCTCGAGGAACGGTTCGCTCGTCTTCGGAATCTTCCAGGTATTCGCGAACGGAAATCGAGTGTGAATTCGACGTTGGGTCTGATAAGAAATATTTGTCTTGCGATGTTCGCGAGTCGGTACATTCCAAGTCGAATATATGGCAGGAATAAACTGTTGCAAAAAGTAACAGTAAGAAATGAATTTTTCATTAACGTTAGTTGATTGATAAATTCGTTGCTACAAAGTTGTGCAATCGGCTCGAAAGGAGATCACGATTCGAAACCTGTTGCGAGCGCTATTATCAAATTCGACCGACTGGTCGTTTGAATTGAACACGTTCGCACCGGCGTGTACCACCGGTGGCTCACGCTCGCGTGTCTAACGGATGGCGCGTACCACCGTGCCGCCCCACGACGAGAGACACACAGTGGATTTCGATTAAACGAGTGCGGATTTTTATGCATTTTTAAGAAATTCTAACGTAAAAAACTATAAAATGCGATAGTGTACATAAATATTGAAAGTAAAGTTCGTATCATTATATTTGGAGAGTAAAATAAATTCTTATTTAGGTTCAATTATTGTAGAGGTGCATTTATACAAATTTTATTTTCCACGAAGATTTAGATCTACCGCATTTTCATACGTCATTAGCTCGAACCAATGATATAGTTTCGCACGAACTTCTCAGGCGAAAGTGTTCACGTCGTTCGTCACCTTGAAAGCTATCAAACTGCAGATTCATCTTGGGATTATAGATGCATTCGCTTTCGTTTTAACTTCACCGACTTCCTGAACGCTTCAGATACTATACAGCATTCATTACGCGTTATTACGGTTTCTCGTACGCAATTACACAACTTCGACGCGACTTACGCTCGGTGTAGCTTACGACACGTACGTCCAAGGAGCGTTTAATTCGCGTTTCAATTTTAAACGAAATTATGGAGCAAACGTTTCCATTTCCGTTTCACGTGTACCACTCGAACGTGGAATGTCGCGCGAGTCTCGTAGCAATTAAATCCTAAATTAAACTTCGAGTTCCATATTTCGTTCTCTCGCTACTTCGTTGAAAGGTCGATTAAATATAAATGAAAGAACAAAGGTGCCCGAAGAAGCGCAGCTTATCTATTTAGAATGAGCGGTCGATCAGGATTTTGCGCCAGCGACGCGGTATTTAAACCGCAAACTCGAACGAGAAAGAGCGCGCTAGCGCGGAGGCGCATCGATAGGAAAGTAACGATAATTGTAAAGGCTTGTCACGATATCGCCAAGTATGGAACACTCTTACCATTCCCTGGTCTTGCATCGCTGACTCTCGTGGACTCGATTCCGTTAAAAACCATCGTTGCGAATATTGTATCATCAATCTAACAAATTGATTACACCATGCGAATCCAACGAGTTAATCTCTTCAGACCTACTGTACTTTATGTTAAATCCTTACTTGCAGTGTGCTGAATTGAACGATAAGTTTAATATTTTCAAATAAATATAGAGAGATTAATTAGTATAGAATTAATATAGAGAGATTTCTTTGATAAACATGAAAGGTAGAAATATTTATGGAACTGATTGTATATTAAGGCGAACGGTGGAGCAGCGCGTAGCGTAGCCGACTACCACGCAGAGAACCCGGGTTCGAATCCCGGTCGACCATTTCCAGTTTTTCTTTCAGGTTTGGCTGCTAAAAAGTATCCGAAAGCCTCTCTTTATAGCTTAAAGATACGAAGAAATCTGAAAAATTAAGATGATAAGAATGACCAAAGACCAAAGAATGTTATATGTAAAAAAGAAGAATTTCACGATAAGTGCAATATGGATAAAAAGAAAGAGTGACAACATTATAAAAACTACCTGCATTCTTGAATATGCACTCGATTATCGCGCAACGTTGCATAACGATTATCAAATTCGCGTACGCTCGAGGGAGAACTATCACGCGCGCCTACGCGGTCACGATAACCAGGTCGGCGTGAACTTCGTTGAGAAATCGGTCAACGAAGGTCGTCGTCGAGGCATTATTGCATACACGCATCGGAATCTCTCCTTTCTTTCTCAGGTATGGCGAACGTCGTGCCGTGGCTGCTGTCGATGTGCCTTCTCGGTGTTCAGGAGTTCGCGAGCCAGCCTGGAACCACCAATGCGCTTTCACGTGATCTTGAGGGAACGGGTCAGAGAGGTCTATCTTCAGGAATTCGTTCGGTACGAACGACTCTTCTCCCGTACGCTAATCTCTCGATAGTTTAGAGTAACTTCGGCGTAGCACAAGTACATTCTTGTTACGTTAATTCTGTTCTATTCTTTCTTAAATTTCTTAAATAGCGATATCTTTACGCCACGAGCGTGTGTTCGTCGTCAAATGATCACTATACTTTTCAACTCCACCAGTCCTTACGAAATTACAAGACTTTGATATCGAGTCACGACGAGCTTCCTGGACACATAAACTGTCCAGGCCACATAGACACCCCTGCGACTGACGAAAATTCAGTGGATAGATTGCCCACGACTCCGGAGTACAACAACCACCTTTACGGCTCGACGCCAGACTCGAGCGATTACTTTGCTCGATCCTTCGAGAGGGTCAGAGCTCGCTCGAGGCCGTCCGGAAGGAACCTGAACCTATTTAAGACGGACTCCATTACGGTGAACCAGCTCGAGTCCCACGGGTTCAATTACGATCCGGGCCGAGGTCACGTAGAGGACGATTACGTTGGTCCTGCCATGGAACTCGTAAGTTTCTCAAAGAAGGATGCTGAAAAATGGACACTTTTTGGACATGGTTGTCCTTAGCCTCTTCCCCAATGATTTTCCACGAAGGCACGTCGATGCATTTTCGATAACTTTCCCATCGTCAAACTTTTCGTTTCCAAAAACGCCATTTTCCAAACGTTTCCCTTTCTCTTCTTTGTTATATAAACGATCTCAACTATAAAAAAAAATACTATAAAAAAAGAATTAGTCTAATGATTGCACCGACGCGATAGGTATACGCCTGGTCCACCGTCGATTTTACGTACGACAGCATCGAGGCACGGGATTCGGCCATCTACGACGGAGACTTCGTCGCCGAGAACAATCTGCCGCTTGGTCTCGACATCTGGAGAGACAAGGTTTTCATCACGCTCCCGAAATGGAAGAACGGTATCCCAGCGACGTTGGCCACTGTGCCGAAGCCCTCCAAGACGAAGAGCCCGAAGTTGAAGCCTTATCCCGACTGGGGATGGCATCGAACAGGTTGGTCCAGAGTTTTTGCATTCTCTTCCGAAACTGTCTCGAGTCGTTTCTCTTTCGACGTCCTCTCGCGATACTTTCTCACGTTCTGCCACTTTCGTCGCACCGAGCCCGATGTTTCACCGCGTGACCTTGATCTATCTCCACGGCGGCCGTCTTTATTCCTTAGAGCAACTCAGAAGAACGTCTTCTTTCCAGACAATTGCGAAGGCCTAACGTCCGTCTTCAGGGTCGAAGTAGACGAGTGCGATCGTCTGTGGGTCCTGGACTCCGGGAAAGTGGACATAGCGAGCGGTGGCAAGAAAGTTTGTCCCCCAGCGATCTTCGTCTTCGACTTAACCACCGACAGCCTCGTCAGGAAGTACGTACTCCCGGATGACCAAGTGAAAGAGGACTCCCTGTACACGAACATCGTGGTGGACATCAGGAACGAGGACTGCGAGTCAGCGATAGCCTACGCGTCGGACGTGTTCAGGTACGGACTGGTGGTGTACGATTTCCTCAAGGACTCCTCGTTCAGGGTCCAGCACCACTTTTTCTTCCCCGATCCTCTGGCGTCCAAGTACGAGCTCCACGGAGTGAAGTTCCAATGGACGGACGGGATCTTCGGGCTGGCGTTGAGCCCTGTGGACATCCACGACGACAGGACGTTGTTCTTCCATCCCATGTCCAGCTTCAGGGAGTTTGCCGTGTCCACGTCCGTCTTCAGGGACAAGAGGACAGCGGAACAGAGCACGGACTACTTCATGCCGATCGGTAGACCAAGAGCCAAGGACTACGGGCACTCGTCCGGATCTGTCGTGGACAGAAACGGTGTCATGTTCTTCAACATGGTCACCCGGGACTCCGTCTGGTGCTGGGACACCAGGAAGGAGTACATCCCACAAAATCTCGGGGTGATAGGCACCAGCAACTTGTCGTTGGTGTTCCCGAACGACATCAAAGTCGATCACGATTACGAACAGAACGTCTGGATCATCTCGAACAGGCTGGCCATGTACCTTTACGAGAAGATCGACAACAGCAAGATCAATTACAGGGTGTTCAAGGCGAACGTGAAGGAGGCCGTCAAGGACACCGTCTGCGACCCTGGCTACGCCGTGCCTGGACCGGAGCACGGCTACGACGAGACTTGTTGAACGTCGTTCCGAACGAGAGCTTAGATTCGAGAAAAGACTTGCAAGGAGTACGTGGAAAGCATCAGATATACAGTGGAGCTCGTTAATCCGGGACCTGGTACTTAAACTCCATTCTCAAAATTGATTACTCACGCTGAACCTTCGGTCTGTTTTATCATCATTTATTTCAATCCTTTGTGCGCGCAGCTGACAAAATACCAACACTTCATCGCTAAAGATCTCCGATTTCCTTTCGATGTAACTTACAACACGACTGACAAATGTAAACAAAACAAAAGTATAAAGGTGTAAAATATATTTTTTATTAGTTGTAACTTAAACGGTGTTCGTACATTTTCGAACCGATAAGAAAATTTACAATCCGACTAAATATTTCTTATGCGTTCTATAAACGCTACCGAAAAAAAGGAACATGGAGTAATTTTTATCAACATAAGGAACGAAATAAACTTTCAGTCTCTTCACGAACAACAAATAAACGGTACAAACTGTAAATACAAATTCAAATTCGAACATCAAATGTAGTACATTTTTTGAAAACACCGTTCCAACGGAACTCGCTCTACAAAACGCTACAAAGAGAAAGAACGAAAAATAGAAAAATAACTTGAAAATACGAGACGCGAGCGGCGAAGTTTATCGGGCGCGTTCAAGCGTCTTCGTCGGATAGGTTCGAGGCGATCGAGAACTCCTCCATAGCGGAAACAAAATCAGCGAACGAGACCGAGTTCTGCGTCGTCTCGGAAAACGCTGTGTAAGCCGAATCGAAGCTGTCCATTTCTTCCAGAGTGGTCTCGAAACGTATACTGGAATTCGACGCGACGTTTTCACCGGTCTTTTCAGTTTCTTTAACGCTTCCAGCCGACTTCTCAGCTTCCTCGGCGTTCAGTCCAGGCGAAACACATTCCTCCTTACCTGAGCCCTCGTCGTAAATCTTCTTAATTAATCGATACTTTTCAGAGAGTCCGACTTCATCTTCGACTAGAGATTCCAACGAGCTGGATCGATCGACTTCCGTGAATCGAAACGTCGCGATTTCTCGTTCAGCTGACTGCAAGTCTGAGTGTTCTTTCTGTTCTTTCCGAGTGGTTTCCAAATCTATAGAAGAATCTGATTCGACAATTCCAGTAGACTTAGCTTCCACTCTTTCTTCGACGATCATTGTAGTTTGAGATATTACATCTGTCGCATCAGAGTCCTCTTCTCTATCTAGCCCCTCCACGTTTAACTGATTTCCTCCAGGTGATCCAACTCGATCGTCTTCCATCAGATCGACCTCTTCGACTCGAGGCGTCGAAATTTCTCGGTCGGTCGACCGCAGGTCTATCAGCTCATCTTCTTCGAGCTCAATGATAGACAATCGAGTGTTCGTGGCGATCGCGCTGGATTCCTTGACGGTACTCGAGTCATTGTCGCTCGTTTGAACCTCGATTGGGAACAGACATCGCTGCTGACGATCTCGTTCGCGCGAGAGTACCACGGACCGAGCTTCTTCTCGCGTTCCTTCGACGCCTCGATTCGACGGTACCGTTTCCATCATTTCTGCGACGCGGTCCCTCATATTCAGCACGGTTCTCTCGACCTCTTCCCTCAACTCCTCCATAATAATACCTTCCATCCCATTCAACGAAGCTTCCGAACATATTTTCTCGATGGTCGAGTTTAGAACCGATCGCAGATGTTCCTCGATCGCACCGGAAGTATCGACGTTCTCGAAGACGCTGGTATCCGGATCCACGCGGCTCTCCCGCCTGATCTTCTCGGCAAGCTCCGCTTTCTCCAGAAGCGTCGACGTCGACGTGGACACCGCGTGAACGTCGAACGGCTTCAGCATCGACGTCGCTCTGGAGATCCGCGACAGAGAGTAAATCTTCTGAAAGAAGTACCGAGTGTAGAAATATACCACCATTAACCAGAACGAGAAGAGGATTTGCAAAGACAGTTCGTCTTTCAACTCGGCGACGTCGTGCCCCGAGACGACCTCGTTCTCTTCTTCGACGGTGTCTTCGAGTCCTATCATGGCGAGGCCCTCTTCGATATCTTCGTCTTCGAGGAATTCTTCGCTCCTTCCCGTCGCTTTAGTTCTAACGATCTCTTCGGCTTCTTCGATTTCGATACCTTCTTCGACAATCTCTGGTTTGATACTCCCTTCGCTTTGCTTTTCTTTCGTTCTATTTTCAGCTTCTCCGATTGTAGTAAAATATTCTTCACCTTCTTTGATAGTGCATTCATCTAACATTATATCAATATTCTCGTCGAGATCGTCAGGTATAATACTTGCTTCGTTGTTCTCTATGTTTTTCTCGATTCTTCCTACTGTATGTTTCAAAGTAATACCTTCTTCATCTCTAGAAGCCTCGTCAGTTCTTTCAAAGTCGATTTCTCCCTCTTCAGTTTCTTTAATTTCAATACTCCTTTCGAGATCTTCAGGTATAATACTTCCCAATCTACCTCTATCTTCCGAACTAGCCCCTTCTTCCTCTCTGGGAGTCTCACCAACCTTTTCAACGTCCTCTTCGCTCGACTCTTCTGCCCTTTTTATCTCGAAAGTCTCGTTCAAGCCTCCCCTCGGCGGAGCCCTACAAGTTTCCCTCCATTGCAAGCTATCCACAGGGAACTCCTCGATGGTCGAATCGGGTCTCGAATTAAGCGACACGTGCGTCAAGGTGTCGCTCTCAGACCTGAAATCGTCGAACGAGTCCTCGCTACCCGACAAATCTCGCCCGTCGTCATTAATATTCATTAGTCGCATGGATTCCATCATCGACAGCATAATTTCTTCCAAACTCTTCTCTTCTTTCTCTTTGCGTGTTTCTAAGGACTCTTCGTCTTCGTTCTTCTCCTCGTTCGCGTCTCCTCTTTCGCGCCTCTCCAGCACCTCTGTCAAACGCGAAAAGCTCATCCTAACAGAATCCACTCTCGAAACCAGCACTCGAGGACTACTGTTCCTGGTGTCCGCCATGCCAGGAATCAAGTCGGACATCTTGATCACGACAGGAAACCTGATATCCGTGCAGACGTTTTCCTCGATGATCCTCAGCATTTGCTCCCTTGAATATTCTTCTTCGTCTGCGACATCCTTCGACCGGGAGACCTGGTTTCGCGGGTCTTCGATCTCGCCGGCGTCCAGAATTTCCCGAAGAAGCTCGAACTCCATGGTGGCGATCGCATCCAGGTCGAGTCCAGTGATATTCAAACCTCCGAGGACTTCCGTTATGGAGGACAGAACCTCGTTCATCTGTGTTGAAGAAATTACGTCAAAAGTAACGAAAAATAAACGATTACATATTTCAAAGACTGTGGAGGAAGAACATAGAAATCTGTTAGCATACTTGAACAACCCGGCCACGACCAGCATCGTCCTCGACGTCCTCCGTCGCGGACCCGTCAGGCAGGATGTCGCCGCCGATGGTGACGATGCAGAGATCACGATTCGCGTCCTGGGACTCGCGAATGGCGGCCACGATCGCTTGCTCGAGTTGGTCTCCTTGCTCGAACAGCTCTTCGACCAAGACGTCGTCGTTCCTTGATCGGTAAACGAGCTCGTCTACGGACGAGTCCAAGTGGCTGCCATGCAGAACGTCCTCCATGGTCACGGTGTCCGCGGGAAAGTCCAGAAGCGAGTCCATAGACTTGTACGAGAACGCGTTGTGAACCATTCTGGCGGTTCTGTCGTCGACGATGTCCATTTGCCGACTCCTCTTCCCCTGGGCGATCGGGTTGGTTAAAACGACGCCGTGCGGAAGGCGATTCACGTCGATGTTTCTGATGAAGTCTGTCAGGTCTGGAGATGTCCTATTCCAGTTTGCGTTTCGAGTCTCTGACCTCTGGGGTTCGTCCTCGCAGGTTTCAGGGTGATTTCGCGTGTCTCCTTCAACGTACACGGCTTCAGGTTCTTCGACAACCTGCTCCTCGGGTTCGTCGATCCGTGGTACAGCTCGCTCTTCGTCTTCGACGTTTGTACTCTCCTCCAGCACTGTCTGGATCTCCTCTCTGTGGTCAACCGTACTCGAAGAGCAGGAGGAGGCAAGGTCCTCGTTCGCGGATGGCTTCAGCATCAGTAACTCCGTGTGTTGCGGCCCGGGGATCGCGAACTCGACGTTCACGCGTTGCTGAGACTCGACAGTAGCAGGTATAGAACGAACCGTTTCGTCCCTCACGTCCTCTTTGGCAAGCGTCCTCTCCAGATCGCGGCCCTTTTGCGTCCCCTCCAGCCTCTTGCTGGAGCTCACCGAAAGGTTCTCCTCGACGACCAACTTCTTGGGCTTGCTGTACTTCGTGTACTGCCTTCTGCCGTCCGGCTCTGCCGGCTTGCTCTTCTTGCTCTCTTGTTTCGCCTGGGTGACGTGCAGCCTGTCGAAGTTGTCCAGCAATCTGTCCGTGACTCTGTTGATCTTCGCCATCCTCGCGGAGCGATACCTCACGTTGGAAAAACTGCAGGGTCTAGCAGTGATCGAAGGCTGCCCGCCGTCCTCGGGCCACGAAGATGGATTGGTCTCGGTGGCGGTATCGATCAACAAATTTTCTTTGTTCGTGTAATCGTCGAACAACTTGCTGTTCTGTGCGCGAGGCTGACTCTCCGCGATTCTGCGGGAGGAAAGCTTCTTCTTCTCCAGTTCCTCCTTGTCCCTCAGCAGAGTGACCTCGTTGTAGGCCTTCAAGGCCCTCATCTCTCTGCTCTCCGTGTCATCCATCCCCGATTTCGTTTTGGATGTCCTGGAACTGTTGGACGCCTTGCTCGTCGAACGTTTGTACTCGAACGACTCCGTCTTCTTGCCAGAAGGAATCTTCGATGACGCAACGACGTCGCGAGCCTCCTTTTTGAACTCCTTCGGGTAAACAGGAGGTTTTCTACGGTACACCATCGTTTCGATATCCGACTGGCGAGCCACCTGCGCCAACGGTACCGTCCCGAACGTGTCGACCTTGGGTTTCGTCGAGGATTTTCGGTTCTCATCCCTCTTTCTGGTGTCGCCGTGTTTTGCCTCGAGTTTATTCATGGGGCACTCGCAAACGCTATTACTGGACGGAGATTTCGTTGGGTCGATCTTCTTCTTGGCGTCTTTAGGCCCCGGTTTCGCCATTTTGTGTCGCGCGAACGCGACGGGGGACTTTGGGCGATTGTTCGTGACCATAAAACGCGTGTCTGTTTTCCTTGCGCGGAGTCTTATACCGCACGGAGAGGTGCTTCTGCTTTGCTCGCTCAGATGTTTGCGTTTGAAGTACGCTCTTCTGCGTCTCTTTCCCTCCGAGAGACTAGATCTGGAGCTACTAGGCTGGAGCTCCTTGTCTGTTTGCGTGTGAACGTTGGAGGTCTTCGTCGAATCGACGAAATCGGATATCGGAACCTTCTTTGATTCTCGAGGTTGGTAGGCTACGGGAGGATCGTCCGCTTGAGCCTCGCGAGAGATCAAGGGGTCCAACTTCGAAGCACCTTCTAGCTTCTCGGAATCGTCGTTCAGGAGATGAATCGTACCCAAGTCCTGCAATAGTGGAACGATGTCCTGTTTCGAATACGAAGCCCTGTGCAACGTTTCGAGGTTGGTGTGATCGTCGAAGACGTTCCATTCCTTCTTCTCCAATTGTCGAAGAAGACTCTGAACTTCCGAATTGTTGGCGAAATCCTTCTCGTAGCAGCCATCGAAAACCATCATAGAGTCCTTGTAGAACCTCGGGATGTTCGTGTCTCCGAAGGAGTGTTCGGGTAAGTTCAGCTTTGAGTCGTTTTTGTTAGTCGACGGCGTGTCGGGGTGCAAGGTGGTCTTCTGCGTGGTGTCTACGCCTGCGTGAATAAATCATAGGTAATATTTAGGGTTAAACTTTACTTTGGGGCACCGAAAATTATGAACTCTTTTGTGCACCATTTAGTAGTTTTTGATGCAAGATTACGAAAATGCAAGTTAACTCGTTTCAAGTAGTAAACGGATACTTGAAAGACGCAAGATAATTCCCGTGATATTTTTCGCTTTATCGCGATATAGATATATTCGTACACGACGTAACTTTGATTAAACTTGAAGTAACCTACCCTTATCCGTAGGAGATTTGTGTACACCATCGTCGTCAGCTTTGACTTCTGATACAGCCGTCCTCGATGTTTCCAGGTTCGTCGCGGATAAATCCTTCACGATCTCCGAAAGATCCTGTACATCGATCACCGCGTTACGATGATCAGAATAGGGTTCTAAGAGGTTTGGATCATCTTGAATCTGTTTTACTCTCTGGACGGACATCTCCTTCGCGAGTAGGTTCTCCAGATCGTCCACCTTGATACTTTTAAATAGCTCCAGGTTTTTCTGGAGCAAGGTGCTCGTTTCAGGGTAGCTGCTGCTCACCATGAAGTCTGTCTTCACATTGGTGACACTGCAGGTGTACACGGACGAATGATCGAATGCCTTTGGGCAATCCATGGAATTATCCTCAGAGTTCCCAGCTCCGCCAGGGATGTCTACGTTCTTCTTCGGCGTGGAAGTTCTTAATGTGGCGTCCTTGACCTCGCAACAAGCTATCTGATCGGTCGCTGTGCAATTGCAATTGAAGAGAGCTTGCAGCTTCACGGGACTGCAGCTTTCCTGCATGCTTCTTCTGGTCTGTCTCGTCGAACTCAGCCTCGAAGACTCTTTCCTCTTCTGGTAAGGCGTGCAAGTTTTGAGGTCCTTCGCGTAACAGGAGTACATCTTCATTTGCTTCGTCCTACTCGTGTTCAATGTCCCTGTTCCTTCTCTCTTTCTTCTCAACAGTGGTGGCTCCGATGTCGCCTTCGCTTTTGCGAGAACTTTGTTCTCGGATCTCCGCGAAGCTTCGGCTTCTGTAGCTTCGAATGGATTTGCTACTTCTGGGATTTCGATTTCTGGATTTTCAGTAGGCGGAAATAAAAGCTCCGGCTCGGCAGGGTGTTCGTTCGTGGATTCCACCTTGTCCTGGTTGAAAAGAATATTTAATATTCGATAAGCCTGAAGTAAATATTACACCTACCAAATCTATATTCCTCTTTCCAACTTCAGCATCGGTGCTCGGTCGTTGGTATTCGTTGTTCGCGTTGAAGAGTCGCTCCAAGTCGTGGTTACTGTGCCCCATTAAGGGCACCAAGGATTCATCGTCCAATTCTGTCAACCTTCTACGCTCTGCTCTTTGTCTCACCCTGATACGTGCTTCCGCGATGTCGTGCTCGCTCAACCCGAGAAGCTTCATAGTTTTCTGGACCGGGGACAGAGCGGGGTCGTCGATGATATGGGAAATCGTGTCCTGCGTGTCGTACGATTCGAAGCTCTCGCAAGTCAACAAGGTGGTCAACGATCTGGTCCTGTACTTGGAGTCCTCGAGCTTCGCGTAGAGACGGCTGGTGAGCAAATTAGTGTCGCTACGCATGGATCTCTTTAGCTTCCGCAGCTTCTCGAGATGACGCAGTTGCAGGAACAGGCAGGAGTTTGTGTACCAGTTGTAACCAGCCAAAACTGGGGAGAATAGAATTTTGCTACGTTCATTTACAGAACAATCGCTGCTTAAACGGTACTTTTAACACCTTTGAACAATATGTATTCATATGAAAAAAAAAAATTACTTTTTATATTAGAATAACTAATTCAAATTTCGCGCGCTTTCCAAAGTCTATCTAATCGCCCTCTGTCGGTGAATGTACCGAACTAATTTTAGGAGTTTGGTCAGCGCC